ATTTACCTCAGTTAGCTAGCTTACTGACATCTTTCACTCAGCCACTGGCAGATTTACCTCAGCTAGCTAGCTTACTGACATCTTTCACTCGGCCACTGGCAGATTTACCTCAGTTAGCTTACTGACATCTTTCACTCGGCCACTGGCAGATTTACCTCAGTTAGCTTACTGACATCTTTCACTCGGCCACTGGCAGATTTACCTCAGCTAGCTAGCTTACTGACATCTTTCACTCGGCCACTGGCAGATTTACCTCAGCTAGCTAGCTTACTGACATCTTTCACTCGGCCACTGGCAGATTTACCTCAGTTAGCTAGCTTACTGACATCTTTCACTCAGCCACTGGCAGATTTACCTCAGTTACTGTCATATTTCACTCAGCCCCTGGATTCATACAATCTTTGATTTAACTGCAGGTAGGCTTTTTTTTTATATCTTTTTTGCCAAACCGTCACTTTGAAAGGCAGGTGAGGACTAAAATCCTAAAACCTCAGATCGATAGTCTTTGAGATTATATATGATCACAGAGTCTTGTCAGCTTTGTAAAAAAAAGGGGTAAACTGGGCATCACAACAGCAGGACGCAAACTCATAGGATGAATAATGTAAAACCACCCGAGGCTGTATGTCCACTGTGCATATTACAACTAGGCCAGTCACGAGCCAATCAGAGAACATCTGGTAATGCTTAAGCTCTGTCATAGGTGTGCAGTGCGCTGATAATAATAAACACCTGAATGTCACATCTGGTGTGTTTGTAGTAAAATTACTTCCATGATATTCTTAGCATTATTTACTTTCTCAGAATTTGAGGTATTTCCACAGAACAACAGTTCAAATGTATCTACACTCTTAAAAAAGATGACAGCAACTCAGCCACAAAGTGTTACAGAGCAGGTCGCTGAGTGTTGAGGCGCATAGTGCATAAAAGTCACCTTTGCTCTGCTGACTCAATAACTGCGGAGCACTGTTTCAGCATGACTGAGCCCCAGTGTACAAAGCAAGGTCCATAAAGGCATGGCTGGGTGAGTTTGGTGTGGAAGAACTTGACTGGCCTGCACAGAGTCCTGACCTCAACCCCAACAGTTTTGGGATGAACTAGAACGGAGATTGTAAGCCATGTCTTCTCGTCCAACATCAGTGTCTGACCTCACAAATGCTCTTCTGGATGAATGGGCAAAAATTCACACAGACACACTTCAAAATCTTGTAGAAAGCTTCTGAAACTGGAGCACCTGGAGGAAACCCACGCTGACACGGAGAGAACATGCAAACTCCACACAGAAGGAGAGCCTGGTAGCCCGGGAATTGAACCCATATTTAAAAGATGTAATTGTACATACAAATATACAGGTTAGTTAGGTCACATAGTATTGGTACTTGGTACTGGCCGATACTTAAGGATTTGGTATTGGTATCTGTATCTGAAGGGATTAGTAGTATCGGTGCATCCCTATCTCAAATCATCTCTTGCAATTTTGTACCGTATAGGTCTTTTGCTTGTATTGAGGCCTACTGTCCATATCTTGTTTTAGAAACATCTCTACTTTAAAATATTTGAATGCTAGCATAAGTACATTATGAATATGATGTTAAAAATATTATTGAAATTAAAAAAATATGTCTTACTTTTTGTCCTTTTCTCACAGGCTAGCAAACTTCGACCAAAAAGAAGAACTGCAAAAAAATCCAGTAGCACTCTCATTAGCTTATTACCAATCAACTACATTTGCATTTGGGTGGTACCAAATTGCATAAATCATCATGAAGAACACCAGAAAAAGTGATGTCCATCGAACCAAGGCAGAATCTGAAAGAATAAAAGAAATATTTATCAGCTTAAACTCTGTCTGCCTTACTAGGATCTTATGGTTGATTACCACAGACAGTTGCGACATGTTTTTGTAGCCTTAGAAAAGAAGAGAATAGCTGTGAATCTAAAACATACCTATAATGGAAGCCAATAAAATCTGTTACATCAACACAATCACTGCCTAATACAAACTAAAAAACAGAGATGTGTTGTAATACATTTTAATCATGTGGAAATGATGGACACACTGGAATCATGTAAATGGATAAATGCACCACTCTATTTCAGTGTGTGTGAGTATGCGAGGTGCCCCAGTAATAATGAATGCGTGAGTCCTCCATCTGTTACTGGGTGAGTGTGTTTGTAGTCCAGCAGGCTAAAGCAGTAAATGCTCACGCATGGCCAAGCTGGGATTGTGGTGAAAAGCATGGCAAATTTTTACAGTAATCTGACTTGGCGGAACATCCACTGCATGCAGTAATCTTATGATCGCTCTGACAAATCCACTTTGCACCTTGTTATCGCCGAGAGCCTTCATTTGATTTCGGTGATAACAGGGAGGCCTGGGCTTTCACCAGGAGAAAACAGGATACGCGCACGAACCTGACTCACAGGCAGTATATTCACCAGCCTTGAGCCGCAAGGCCACAGCATTAACAAGAATTAGAGCAGGTTTAGAACTAAGCCTTACTAACATGGTCATTTGCAGAGGTGCCAAGGGGAGCATTTGATTTCCGCTGCGTGTACTTCAGCATAACTGGGTTGTCGTTGCTTCTTCTGTAATGCACATGAAACTTCAGGCTAAGGATGGAGCATCACCTGAGAAGGAATGGCTTCTGACACGCAAAATAGGTCATGTCCTCAATACGTGACCCACAAAACTATATACTTAGTCTTCAAAGAGTGGAAATTCTCATTTTTCTTGCTTTTTTGAAAGAGTTTGACATGCTATGTAAAAGTTTAAAAATGTACCACTCACTTGTCAATCCATACAGTCCATATATGGCAACTAGGGTGTAAGAGCAGCCTGCTTTGAATTAATAGGCATGACTAGAGCTGTGCTGAATTGTCTAAATTGAGTAGGCCAAACAATAAAAATGGGATTAACTGACCAGTAACATAGTATTTTTGTGACTCTTTACTATTTGAACATACATTTTCATATGCTTTCATTTGTCTTTTGCTGTATATATATGGCAAAAATGCATAAACTCTCTTAATGGGCCCATATAAACCCATGAAAACTGAATTTTCCCACACCTAAACATAGTTAAAGTTTCAAAAGGTACCATTTACTCCCAGTCCATACAGTTCATATATGCCAACTATGCTGCAAGAGTAGCTGTTTTAAATTCACTGTTTCCCTGATGTCACAAAAACCAACACATTTACATATTTCCACCTACCTATATTCAACCTACAGCAGTTTAGCCCCGCACATTCACACAAGTTAAAAAGACTGTTTCATACCACACTGAATGAGGCACAATACCGGGCAGCCAATCAGAACAGAGCATATTTACATATATCAGTCTTAATTCTAAAGGATAAATGTGGACCCCCACAGGACCACCACAGAGCAGGTATTATTTGGGTGTTGGATCATTCTCAGCACTGCAGTGACACTGACGTGGTGGTGGTGTGTTAGTGTGTTGTGCTGGTACGAGTGGATCAGACACAGCAGTGCTGCTGGAGTTTTTAAACACTGTGTCCACTCACTGTCCACTCGATTAAACACTTCTACCTTGTTGCTCCACCTTGTAGATGTAAAGTCAGAGACAGTAACTCATCTATTGCTGCACAGTTTGTGTTGGTCATCCTCTAGTCCTTCATCAGAGGTCACAGGACACTGTTGGCTGGATATTTTTGGTTGGTGGACTATTTTCAGTCCAGCAGTGACACTGAGGTGTTTAAAAACTCCAGCAGCACTGCTGTGTCTGATCCACTCAGACCAGCACAACACACACTAACACACCACCACGTCAGTGGTACAATATCTGGTCTGTGGTGGTCCTGTGGTGGTCCTGATCATTGAAGAAAAGATGGACTACAGTCTGTAATTGTAGAACTACAAAGTGCTCCTATATGGTAAGTGGAGCTGATAAAATGGACGAGTGTAGATTCCTGTTTTTCAGTGATGCACACAAAAGTGACGTGAGTGCTAATGACCGCTGTGCAGATCACAGCGTTACAATGACCTCTGGATATGATTCAGATTGCTAATTAATTGCTTGGTCGGCTCACTGAGAATGTAAATTACACTCAGTGATATTTTTAATTAATCATGACAGGCCTATTAATGATGTCACAACCATGAACACATTTATACATTTATATATGATTGCTACAGTCTACTGGATGTTGTGAAGTAAATTTAATTCAGCGAATTTGCCTTCCAAACATCCAGACCCCTGGACTTCAGTATGAATTTAATAAGTTGTTCTATACATTTCAGCATGGATTGCTTTTTTAAATATGGAACAACACAAGGCAGCCAATCAGAACAGAGGTCATCTACATACACCGATCAGGCATAACATTGTGACCACCTCCTTGTTTCTACACTCATTGTCCATTTTATCAGCTCCACTTACTATATAGGAGCACTTTGTAGTTCTGCAATTACAGACTGTAGTCCATCTGTTTCTCTGCATACTTTGTTAGCCCCCTTTTACCCTGTTCTTCAGTGGTCAGGACCCCCATGGACCACCAGAGCAGGTACTATTTGGGTGGTGGATCATTCTCAGCACTGCAGTAACACTGATATGGTGGTGGTGTGTTAGTGTGTGTTGTGCTGGTACGAGTGGATCAGACACAGCAGTGCTGCTGGAGTTTTTTGACCACTGAAGAACAGGGTGAAAGAGGTCTAACAAAGTATGCAAAGAAACAGATGGACTACAGTCTGTAACTGTAGAACTACAAAGTGCACCTATATAGTAAGTGGAGCTGATAAAATGGACAATGAGCGTAGAAACAAGGAGGTGGTCATAATGTTATGCCTGATCTGTGTACATCAGTGTTAAAGGCACTGTAACAAAGCTTGTTTAATTCTGATGAATAAACAGAGGTTGGAAAATTAAAAACCATCAGTGGACCGTAAGGTAAAAAAAACCCACAGAATTTCGTCCCTGTAAAAATAAAAGGTAATCTCTATGGATAAGTAGCAAAACCACATAGAAACACTCACACAGGTTTACACAGGTATGATGTGACCTGTCTTTATTGTTCTGGATGCAAAAATATAGGTGCATGCACGGTAAACAATAGCATAAATATCGTCTCAAAAATAGGACATCCATTCCGATAAATTCAGTCAGCTTTGTGAGATCTACAGCAGACCAAAGCTCATCAACATTCACCAATGGCGGAGTGTCTAAGGCTACTGCTGCCCCCTGCTGGTGATAGGTGAGTAGTGGAGTCACATGGAGGTGATCACTGTAGTGTAAAATACAACAGTAAATGAGAGAATGAATTTCTCTCCATGATGAATGAAAAATTGTCAGATTCCTGAATAAACCGTCCGACCACAGGCAGGTGAAAGCAGAACTGCAACTGAACATCGTTTTTGAGCTAATAAAGCCTGAAAAACAGGCCTAAAAAGTTTTCAATCTTTACATACACGAAACAAAACAATACACACTGTACTTGAGCATTTGGGATAGTAACTATCATCATTTTCCAAACTATTTTAAATTATATTCCTAAATAAAACAGTCGATAATAATAAAAATGGTCTTCTTGCATATCCAGAAACACCATGGCCTTGACAACTCAAATGGCTAATTATGGTTCTGTTACAACAGCCTTTTGCCATATAAAACAATAACATTAAAATATACATAATATGAAAGCATACATCATATAGCACCTTTGGTTACTGTGAATATTACAATGGTAAGCTTGGTCATCACACAACCCTAAAACTACACTCAGAACACACACATATATATTAACGACACACATACAGACACACACGCACACACCCCTGTTGTCTAGTCAGTAATCCTTCAGTGTAGGGGGGCATTATAATGCTCTTATTAAGCTTTATCAAGCCAGGAGCTGGTAATTAAATGCCTAAGTCAATGATTACACAATAACAACTGTGAATGAAGCATTTTCAGAGCATGCTTGTATATTACACATCATAATCATAAACATTTACCTAAACATTGGGTCTATAATGTGCTTATTTTCTTCCGATTCATATTAATACCTCAATCATGAGATCAACAATGACATCTGCTTCTGGCATGTAAGCCTTATTTGGGGGTCTCTGGTCAAATGACATGTTTTGTTGATTTTGTAAGTGAAAATAAGTGAACACATCCTCTACAGAGAACACACTTCTGCACATTTTAATGCATAATTACTACTTATATTTAACATATTGGGGAAAAACGAAGTTACGGCACAGATAACATGTATGTTAAGCCATATATAGTTTATATTTTATGTTATTTTTCCAATGTGTTAAACAAATAAACAGAAATTGTGCAGTAAAATGTGTGGAAAATTGCCATATTTAAGTCTATTCTAACTTATTTTCACTTTGAAATTCAACAGAACATGTCATTTAACTGGGGGTGTCCAAACATTTGGATACGACTGTATTAATATCACTTCAAATCAGTACATTAGATTGATGCAAAAGCGCTAGCTGGTGTCTTCATACCAATAAATGACATGCAAAAGACTATGATGCATAAAACAAATAAAATCTGACTGAAATAATTAGAATGTAATAAAAATAAGCTAAAACCATGGAAAATGCTTCCAGACCAGTCACTGCTTAATGAAATAGCAATGAGCAGCCAGTTAATTACCAGCTACAGGCTTGATAAGGCTTAATAAGAGCATTACTGGGGAGGATAATGTCCCCCTGTAATGAAGTGTTACTGTGTAGACTCTTTACACAGACTTTGCGTTGTGGATTATGTGTTTCCACTTGTCTTTGGTAGGAAAAACAGCACAACCTTAATATTGCCGTTAACCTGTGCATCCCTGAGGACCAACACACAAGGTGAGGACTTCCAAACACACTGCAACGTATGACAGTCACTCAACACGTAGCCCTTCAACTTCCATGTTAGAATTAAAGTGCCCCACCAAACACGATAGAGTGCAGTGACCTCGAGTCTAGTGTTCCATAAATACATGATGCCTGGAACCAACTGGAATTCACTGCAATTCAACGTTCCAGTGTGGTGACCGTGGTGGTCCCTGGTGTTATAGATGTGGATCTATTGGCAGAAATCACTCACATGGTTAACGGGTCACTTGCATGAATGTCAAATGTGAGATGAACTGTAAACATATTTAATCTACTAACAAAGTGTTTTTGCTCACTTAAGTTAGCAACACAGAACTGAACAAACAAATTTGATAATCGTGGTCGATACTGTCGATATAATACTAGGAGTTCATTTACTTACAAGAGAGACCGTCTGGCCAAAGCATAGCTCAGATAGCAGCAGTGAGCTAGCTAGCTTACATCATTTTATGTGAAGGCATCGCCCCAGGCCCAAAATGGCAAAAATATAACCTCATGATACTTGGACATATTTACAATGCATATGTATCACGATATTTCATTTTTCAGGAGGGTTAATGAGTAGGAACAGACAAAAATACCAGTAGTGCCACTTTATAAAATTACTATAAAAAATGTGTGAACATACATCAGTTGCTGGGAGTCCAAGACAGTGTAATTGTCCTCGCTCTCTCTGTGTGGGAAGGATGGGCCTCCCTCCCCCATCACTCAGCACAACGCAAGCCAATGCAAGCGTCTGTTATCTTAGATTACAGAATGCAGTAGGTGTTCTCCTCTAACCGCGCTGAGCTTTCCAATGACGCTGCGTTAGTGCCAGTTTGAAAAGATGTGTTGCCACTTCGCATGTTTTGGAGAAAGCATATGCCAGCCTTCACCCTCCTAGCTTTGGTAGTATTGTGCAAAGTGGAAGATCTAGCTAGTGGCTAGCAACAAGACATAAACTACACTGAGGGTCAGATTTTGAGGTCATTTTTCAGACCACGTCATGTTTTACGTCTTAACGTCACACATAGGATTAAAAAAAAGAAGGTCTGGCTTGATGTTTAAGGTTTCAACTGCAACATCATACTGATGAAGATATGATGACAACAGTAGATCATTCACTCCAAAAAAAAAAAACCCATCCTTCAAATTCTCATTCTATACTCTTTCAACGTGCGCGCAATCATCAGATTCATCCGATTAGGGAAGGGGTCTGAAGCACAACCCGCGTTACAAAATGTTCTTCTGCACGTTGCGTGCAATTATACATTTCCACCAGAGAGGCCTCCAAATCCCCAGATTTACAGAGTGTGGCTTAAAGACACCCAGCGATACAACGAGGAGATCTCACAGGAGTATGAGAGTCAAACTCGAAAAGCTAAACAGCTAGCATGGTAGAATTACTACCACTACCACTAGTAGCACTACTACTATTACTACTATATCGTCTCTGTCCAAAAAAATAAAAAATTCTACACCATGTGAACATGGCAGCCATCTCTTACATTGCATAAATTTTCATGACAAATGCAAACCAGTTTGCTGTTGCCTTCTTACCATTTTTGACAGCAACGATATGAGTTTGCTACTCCTCTATCACTCTACAAAATTAGGTCTTAAATTAAACAGGTAATAATTTAGTGCTGCACTGATGGCACCTAATGACAAAATAGATTGGAGGGGAACATTCGGTCACCACACTGGATTAATCTAGATACCATGAGGGGGTTCTTAACGGAAACATGGCTACTCAGTGTGTATATCTCACTCTCTCCCTTTTCTCCCTCTCTGTCTCTCTCGCACAGACACACACACACCCACACATACACACTTTTTGGCCTGTTGCAGCTGCTGCAGTCGTGGGTAATGGCTAGACTCTTAAAAATAAAGGCTTCTGCATAGTTCTTAGCCTGGATGTACAGTTCTAAGAAAGTCTCTAATCAGAATTAAAACTTAATTACTTCACACTAACTCATTTAAAAAATAGATCTTTAGCCATCCATTGGAAGGTTCTTTGGGGAACCAGAAGAAGCATTTGTATGGCACCAAAGAACCATTTATGGTACCTTTATTTTTAAGAGTGAACTTAAGAAGTGTTCATGTAACAAGTAAGGCACAGACAGAATACAGCTTCATCAGCATTTGAAGGCACTTTAAAAAGAGTCCATTAAAGCTCACTAGAATGCAACGCAAAGATATACATCCAGTCCATTTCTGAGACCTTAACCTTGCAAGCCAGCTGACCATTGCACCTGCAAATCAAACAGGGGTACAATATCCAATGACATGACATGTGACATGTCCTGGGTTAGAAGAAGCCCAGAAGCTGGAGGAGGTGCACAGCACCCGTCCACACCAGACTACTGAGACATCGACACCGCCGGCCAACGATGGAGAGTGGAAGAAGTCCGGACTTTAAGGCACACACTGGAAAAGCCCTCCTAAATCATGAACTGAGTGTATCCCTCCGCTCCTGTGACGATGACGTCCATCCAGATTCGCATGGCCTCAGGAGAAGGAGCCACCATGTAATACACACGATCGTGAGTCTTTACGCTGAAGGTTAGGGACGGGTTTGGACTCTGAGGTAGAAGAAAAAAGAAAAAAAAACATTCAGACCACAAGGGGGCAGCAATGGTATGGAAACCAGACTACTTTTTAACCCCTTAAATCTGCAGCATTCATATGCAGGCCCACACTTTGCAGCTCACTTTCAAACTACATAACTTACACAGTAGCTTCACAGAGAATATTACAAAAAAAAAATTACAGTTCTTAAATCTGATTGGCTGATCCACATTGAAAAAGTCCTGTGCAAAAGTTTGAACACTCCTAGAGAAATCATGTTTTGTTTATGTGAAAATATGTTATTCCACCAATTTTTCAAAATATCTTCATAATTAAACTGTTAAGATGCAAACTAAGCCATTCAGAGTTGTTTTATTTGAAATGCTCCGTTCTACAGAAACTTGCCAGGTAGTTGTGGTGATAGGACCCAGATGTCTTAAGTGTGTACTGTCTTTAAAAGCTCCCTCACAGAAAGTTATTACATGAAATAATTATGAAGAGTCTCAGGCATTGTTTCACGACAGTTTTGAGAGAAGGCTTCAGCCAAAAATCTTCCATGGAGGAGAGGTACGTGCAGGATGTGGCATGACAAAGAGTCCCCAAGCGGATTTAACACCATTTTACCATTATCAACATTATGTATATAAACTCTGCAGACCTGTAGATTCACTTGTCATTCTGGAGAGCAAACAAAATGTTTTGTGTTGTAGACATTGTGACCCCTGGTTCATCGTCACTGTAATGAAGTCATTGTAGGTTTCTCTATAATGTACCTTTTCACATCATACCACTCTGAATGACACTTTATCTCAACAACAAAATAATGCGGCAATTCTGAAAAATTGCTGGAAAACTGTCCTACACATCCTCTACAGAGTAAAAAAAAGGAAACATGGCAATTTTCTCATATTTTACTGCAGAAAATTAATAGATGTCATTTACATACATAAATCTTAAAGGAACAGTAGCAAAAAGAACCTGTTTAATTTTAGGGGATAAAGAGGAGTTTTTAACGTTCATGTTATAATCACTAGTATGCATGTTCTCTTGTTGCCGACTGCTTTAATAAGACTTAAGTTTAATAACTGCACAAAAAGCCTAGAGTTCAAGGTGTCTGAAGTTTTGGAAAACAATAATAACCAGTGAAATGTTACACAGCCTACCTTGTGTGCATTCTTTAAATGGTCGTAATACACCTCCTCAATAGCCTGGAAGTAAATGACTCCTTTCAGCTTGGCCTCATGCTTATCTGGAACCAGAGCAAAGACATGAAACCAATATTGCTTAATTTTAGACTGACAAGATCTAAGCTGAAGATTCGCAATCATGTACATTAGCCTGACCTGCGTAGTAGGACAGTGTCCTGCGGTTGCGGTCAAAGACGAACCAGCGCTTCTTCCAGGTCTTGATTTTGCCGCCCATCTTGATGAGGAAGCCGCGGCAGGTCTTCTCCGTGATGGACACATGGTAGCACGTCTCGATGCTGTGGCCGGCCGACTCGATGTGTCCCCGCAGGTCAAAGTCATCCTTCCTCACGGGCAGGTAGCGGGTAAGCGGCCGAGACTGGATGGGCAAGTTCAACCAATATTAGAAAGGCACACTGATGTCTTCAACAAAATGATTTAAGTGAGTCTTGTCTTTTTTGAAAATTGTAAAATTGAAAAATAGTTCGGCAAAAAATCTAATTTACACTTTTTCCTCTTACTCCCTAAATGTAATCAATCAGCCAAACTGAGTTTGCTTATTTATTTGTGTGCTGGAAAGATGAGACTAGTGTAGCTAACAAGTAATGGAACCTTATGTTCCCTAAACAGCATTGTCTAAACCGCAGGCCTCAGTCATTGCACTCTTGCCTCAGAACATGACAAGTAAGTACAGTAGATAAAAGCATAGACAAAATTCAGGTTTCATGATTGTTTCTTGTACTGTTTTTGTCTATGCGACTCACTTTTGTCCTTTTTTATAGATAACTGTACGTCATACACCGTCAGAAGCGACATAAGCAAGTCTACTAGAGATTACTTAAGGGGCCAATATTACTAAGAAACACATTTTCCTCACTTTTTGGAAATAAAATAGGTTTATCTTATCTATCTGCACATATGGACACCTTATTGCTCATCATTCATTATTGCACAACCTTTTTAATTTCCACCAAGGCCTTTCTGTGGGCTTTAACCTACAACAACCTCATAGCTTCACTGCAAACTAAAGTGCAAAGCTGAAACTGATCAACTATGTTTGTTAAGTGTTAATTGTGTAAACTTCTTTGTTCACCAAACTATCGCTTTAAGGCCATTTTTCCCCCTTTTCACTGTTTCTCTCACCTGGGCCCTCTGTTTCTCCCGTAGCTTTACCTCCCTCTCAATTAGTTTTTGCCGTCTGCTCGTTTCCTCCTGGAGCCGTTTTTCCAGGTCTTCTCTCCTCCTCCGCTCTTCCTCTAGAGCCTGCCGCCGCACCTCTATCTCCCGCTCCTGGATGACATACAGAACGCAAGGAATAAGGTTGGATAGAATCAAACTCCCTTTCTTATCTCCTTCCTACAACAAATATTGTGATTTCTCTGGATGATCTCGGAAATCGCACTGAAAGAGCCGTGAGTACAGTGACATCCGACATGCTCAAACGAGTATGGGATCAATTTGACTATGGCGTTGATGTTGTCTGTACAGCTGGAGGAGGTTCACATTGAGCACTTGTAAAGTCACATAAGCTTTATGCTCATTTAAACCATTTACAATTTACTGCATTGTTCTGTAATAATTTACAAGTGAAATAAATCATTTTGAAATCGGATGAATCACCCTGTATTATGATATCCCTAACAATTCTGTATATATGTACTTGGTGTAACCTTTGTGTTCTTAACTGGCCAAATAAGACTAATCTATTTAAGTACACACGTTAATGTCAAACCCAGCCTTGCAGCTGAAGGCTTTACTTAAAACCCTAGAATTAGCACTATCAGAGCCTCTGCAGCCTCCCATGACGCACCACAGGAAGAGTGGCTGGTTTCCCACAGCGCTCAGGCCCAGTTTGTTCCTCTTTATGCTTGAACGGTGAACTTCTAACAGAGTAAACAAGCTTGCAGTTAAAGAGCTGTAAAGCCCTTTAGCAAAGAGGGACTGGTTTCATGGAGGGGTTTATAGCCTTTGGCTGAAGTGTACTGTGGCCAGTGTGCATCAGCTGTACACTGAGCATATTAAAAACAGCTGATTGTCCAATCTTTCTTCTAAAACCAAAGGAGTTAATCTGTCACCTATGCTGCACTCTCCACTATTAGCCTCTAAGGATTTCTACTAGATGTTGGAACGTTGCTACTGAGGTACTGATGTTGGGCGATTAGTTCTGGATCAGAAATGCCACCCTAAATGTATTTGTTGGTGCTCCATCACTCCACTGACCTGGGCTTCACTGCTCAACAGCCCAAAAGTGGTTGGTATAGAATAGTGGGTGCTCCCCAAACAGCAGACTGAGGGTCAACTCCCTGTCTCTACACCCCATGTGTCAAACACAAGGCCCACAGGCCAGATCAGGCCCGCCACACAATCCTGTCCGGCCCGCATAAGTATTTTAATTTTCTATTAATATTAGCCTGTTTTACAATGTGCTGCACTACAATCCCCAGCATGCACTGCAAAGTAATGTGCTCAGACTCTCCTGCCCCAACAACAGTCTATGAGACAGCAGTTACACCTTAATTCTACACAATTCTGCGCAATCCCACACCATATTGTCATATTACCAAAATGCACTTAGCCACAGTTCAACCAATATAAACACTTGTCATAAGCTCAGCAGCTCGGAAACTGAACCCAAGGTGGCCAAGAAGAACCTACTTTAACAGGAACGGGCTATTTCACTGACAAAATAACCAAGCACAGACCTGTTTTACCATGAAATGTAGGGGGTAGGGTGTTCTCAAAAGGTGGCAACTGTTTGCAAAAGTCTATTTCATGTCTGATTGATACAAACTGGTGCACAGAAGTGCATACGCATGGAGGGGATAATAAAATAGAAGGCATCCAACATAAAACCCTGTAGAAGAATTCTTTTGCAGCAGCTGCCCTGTAGTATAAAGCTGACCAAAAAAACTTACTCAGCCAAATGAGCAACTAAGGCACATAACTCAGTTTCATAGCATTCTTAGTTTAAAATGATACGTATTTTGTATTTTTTATTCATGTAAAAGGTCACATTGTTGGGAAATTTGAGCTTTTTTGTGGCATGTTCATCAAGCTAATATTTGCAGTGTGGCAAACTGGTTGTCATTTCCAACTTGACTAGTTTTAGTTTGCTACATCACCCAGCTTGCCAGCATAATATATAATATAATATTAAACTGAATGTAATGTTCTGTCAAGGTTGTCCAACCTGGCAACAGCTACTAGGAAAGAGTTTGCTTGAATATACTACAGCGTATAACATGTACAAAAATCTACAGCAAAAATATGATGTAACATGAAAAAAAACAGTTTTGAGTCCTGAGAAACTTTGAGAAACTGAACCCAGTGTGTTCTGCTAGTATATATTATTTACACATCTTTTAAACTATATGCATTTCATGATTAGATGATTCATTCTATAAGGCAGGGGTGCACAACTCTGGTCCTGGAGACCAGTGTCCAGCACAGTTTGGAGGTTTGCCAGCTCAAACACACCTATTTAACCTGGCAGATAAATGTAATCAGGTGTGTTGGAGGAGGTAAATCACCAAACTGTGCTGGACACTGGCCCTCCAGGACCGGAGTTATGCACCCCTGCTTGAAGGCTTCCTATTTTATCTGTTTCCACATAGTTTGGAATGTCTGAGAGGCTATTTTTTGGTTTAGCCTTTAAATCAGATTACTGTCAGGCACCTGTAATAAAACCTTTTAACAACGGCTTTTAAGTTTAATAAATAGCTATAATACTTGTTTTTCTAAAGCAACGAAGTGAGAAAAACAATTACAGTTAACTTAAATAATTGAGATCAGCTCAAATAGTTGTTACCAGGTGATAACGTAATAATCGTGACCGGCCTAGTAAGAAGGGTAAATGTAATTTGTTACTTTCCACCACTGCATATAGTGTATCTGATGATGTGGCTGAAGGACGAGTATCTTACTCTGTGCTCCAGGAGCCGGTGTTTCTCGGCTTGAGCCTCGCGCAGAAGCCGCTCCATCTCTTCTATCTTGGCTGTGTTGGAGGTGCTGGCGCTGTGCAGAACAAATGAGATGAGGCGTTATTTTCTCCTTCATTACTGCAGACCTCCCACCCACAGACAACACGGCAGTACGACACGGCACATGAGCTGCAATGGCTCGCGAAAACATCTTCAGTTCACGAATTAACACACACACACACACACACACACACACACACACACACACACACACACACACGCTCATCCGTTGCAGAATGCAGCAGGAATCAATAAAGCTGGTCAGTGCTGGAATGCATTAGAGCCCAGGCGGCGAGCCGGAGAGCACAGACCAGATTCGGATTCCGATGCTTTCCACTCAAACTTCAAAAGCAACACGTGGAACAAATCGAAGCTGCCCCTACTCCCCCCCTAAAACTGCCCACTTTCCCCTCTGCTTTCTATTCTAAACTCTCAGTCTCCCCCCAACCTCTACAGACCCATCCCTCTCTGTCCAAACCCTTGCTCTCGACCTTGACAGGCCTACCGGTCAACAGTTTTGCAAAAATAGCAGACTCAATCAGACAATGTGTTCCTGGAATTCAAACTCACTGCTTAAAGTGAGTTCTACTGTTCCATAGTTTTCCCTTCACCCCAGATACAGTCAATCATCCAAAGCATGTTTGCTGTTCAAAGTTTGCTTTGCTTAGTTAGTTTTGCTTCGGTGCAAAGAGGCTAATGAAGCTCACAGCCCACCAGTTACCGCTGTAAACACTCCATGACTAAAGGATCAAACACTTGCCTCTGTTTGGAAAAACAGACTTGGTTAAGTGGGCAAAAGTACACTGTGTAGGAACTAACAGTAGCAGCGGTCCTGAATTTTGTCAATACATTTTTCCTTTCTTATAGCTAAAAACTTGAATTATTTGTTATTTGCTTTTGTGGTTTCTGATATAAAAAGGCTCATAGCTAAAAAGACTTTAAGCCCAGTTATCACTTTAATTTTGCATGACCTGTTGCTGACATGGGGATCTGAGCGACTTAGTCTGGTATGGAAGCCCAATCCAGTCAGGTAGAAGAGGAAAAAAGCCTATCGTTGTTGTTGGAACAAAACCGCAGCAGAAAGAAAAAAACCTACTTTACTGTTAATGGAAGTCAATGGAACCAGACCCCCCCGCCCCCCCAAGTCATTTTGGTCTTTTGGTCCATTCATCATGAAGTTTACACAAATGCAAAAGTCAACAGGTATTTTCAAATTATGGGAAAAACTGAAAAAGCATGTTAAAATATTGAGTTAATAATTACTTATTTTCTCAAAATATTGAGTTAATATCTCAAAATAATAACTTATTTTCTTGAGGTTTTGAGATACTATGTCTATGTCCCTCTTTTTTGAATTTACTATGTAAATAATAAGTCACTACATTTCAAGAAAGTAAGCAATTATTTAATAAGCCATCATTATGACATAACAAAATATTATTCTGAATCATTATTTCAAGAAAATAAGTTATTATTTATTTTGTGTCATTATTTTGACATATTAAGTCATTTTTATTTTTTAAATAAACTGTTATTTCGAAACAGTAAGCCAATATTTTGACTTACATCAGTAGTTTGAGAAAACAGTTATTTCATCACAGTGAGTCAACAGGTCAGTAAAAAGGGTCAGTGTTTCATACTAAGTCAACATTTTGACATACTGCCGCCAGAAACAGAGAAAGAGATTTTTCTCATCTATCTGGTGGGAATGGGTTTCCGTACTCTGGTCCTCAGACTAAATCCAGGGCAGGTGTGAATCTACCCTGAACTCCAGCACCACAGTTATGTAACGCGCTGTGGGAGCACCTACTCTGCATTTAACGTGAAACTGTTTGCCGTGACTAGTGACCCCTAATTACCCTAGTTCAGTGTAATCACAGCTTCACTACCTAATAGTTACTAACACAGACACAGACAACCAGCCAAGCCACAGCAAGAACCAGTCCAAACCAGCATGTAGACATGACTGTACCACTTTCAAAATCCTTTGGCAAGAGCAGCTGACTAACAACAGACAGACTGACATAAATCTTCAGTCCCATCATTCCTCCCTTCTTCTCTTTTCCTCCTCTTTCTCCATCCAAGCTGGCATGCATCTACCCAGCATGGGGCTCAACATCTGCACCTCCTCTTTCCTCAGCTCACAGCAGCATCACTGAAGCATTTCTTACCTGCGACGGTGTAAATGAACCGTAGTCATGTCCGCTCTAGAACCAGCAGAACCTGAAGAAAACCAGCTAGAATGTACTGCGCTGCAGCAGCACAAAGAACATGCAGCCACCCCGCGCTCTGCTGTTGATTACATTCAAACTGGGAAAAAAAAAATCCTCAAAATCTGCTTCCTCTAACTGTTCCTGCTGTAATCCGACCCCCCCTGTCCCGGGTTGAGTGATGAAGAGGGGAATGTGCCCCCCACCCCCAAACATAGGTCCTGGTTCTCTGGAGCTCCAGCCTCCAGTCCAGCACACGCTTTAAATTAATCCAGCATAGCACTCGTATTACACCAGCAACAGACCCCAGCTCACACGCACGCTTGTTTTCATACTTTGTGAGGATGTGGGGTCCCACATATACTACTGTACTACATATTGTAACATACATGTAAGTATCTATATGTAATTTTTTATTGACCTAAGCCATAACCTTAACTTCAATCTCAGTAACCAAAAAGATGAAGTTCTGGCCAGTCAGTTTAAAGCAATACAGCATGTAGCTTTTGTTAAAAGCACCTTTCTGTTAGTGAAAAGATCATTTAGCCACGTTTTTCTCTGGTTCTCCTAAAAAAAATCAGGACACTTTTGTCCTGGAAAAGTACAAAAACACACACACACACACACACACACACACACATACACACACACACAACGTATACAAAAGTAGGCTCAGCATTAGCACAACTCCACCGCTGCAAGACATGATCTCATACAGGCTTGTTTCACATTGCTAAAGCTTCCTCTAATAATCACTCCAAACACAGCTTTAGTGTGAACTTGATGGCAGCTAGCGCTGCAATGGTTACTCTTTTGCCTTTGGTCTTTGGTGGTCGCCAAGATTTTTGAGGGTACCTTGGATAGCGAAGAAAAAAAATGGATCTTTGACCGAATCAAGCCTCTCTTCTCACTCAAAGCCCAGATAACCAAACTGCAGCTTTTATTTTTGACATATAAGAACTAATTCACTGGGGGAAAAATATACTCGGAACAATTGAACTTAAAAGAGGACGGCCAGCAACAAGATGGATGGATACAATCAGAGGAACTATGAACCAGCAATTAAGAAGCAAGAAGATCTAAACAGAACACAGGATATGCAGGAGGAACACTATCCATATGGTCAACAGAAGTTGGAATCGACTTGACGGCACTGAATAATAATACATTTTTATTGTCACTTTATTATATATTAAAAAAAACTTTCATGCTCTATAATATTATCTAAAATAATGCATTATGACATTGCAATGCAATACTGTGACTGTGCATCATGGAGAACGGACAATCTACTGATTATGGCATCTAATGCAACTGAACTGTTTGAACAACAAAGTTTGCAAATGCTCAGTACAAATCACTCAGTCCAGCACTCCTCCTGCCTCCCAGCTCTAATGTTGTTAGAAAGCTGTTTCTTCGTTCAAATTTTGTACAAAAGATCATGAGAATACCAAGTTATGAACCCAGTTTTGCAAATCAAATCATGAATCATAAAAGAAGAAACTGCTTGTCACATGGATGGAACAATGAAAGATGGCAGCATTTGCAAATGGACAGGAGGCGAAGAGGGTATATCAGCTAGAGTTGTTTATTGTTCTAATTATGGCCGATAGCAAAAAGTCCAACTGACTACACAAATAATCATCAGCTCCACAGCTAAGTGGTGATATTTCTCATATATTGATATTCTGGCCTTTCCAGGCAGAAAGGACAGAGAGGCTGACCTGGAGATGTTGTCGGGTGAACAGGCGGAGATGCTGGTCTCCATGCTGTCAGAACTGTCCACGCTGAGCGTGTCGAAGGCGTGGCCGTTGTCACGGTAACCCAGAGAGTCCAAGTAGACGTTGGTCTGCGAGGCAGCGCGGCCACTCAGCTCGTTCAGTCTTGACCGGTTCTCTTCCCCAACCAGCTGCTGACTGTAGCCTGAGAGAGAGAGAGAGAGAGGGGAGAGAAAAGAGAGACAAAAGAAGAACGAAAAAGAAAGAAAGCAAGAAAGGGAAGCAGAAAAAGGAAGAAAAGAGAAAGAAAGAAAAAAATTACAGAGATAAAAAAATAATAAAAAGAGAGCAGAGTGAGAGAAAGATGAATGAAAGATACAGAAGGGAAAAAAGAAAAAAGAATGAAAGAGAAAACAGAAAGAAAGATAGCACAAGACAGAGAGAATGAGGGAAGAAAGAAAGAAAGAAACGAAGAAAGGAAAAAAATTAAGATAAAGTATAATAAAAAAAGAGTAGAGAGAGTAAGAGAAAGATTAAAAGAAGGAGTAAGGAAAACATGAGTGAAAGAAAAAGAAAGAAGAGCACAAGAATGAGGGAAAGAAAAAGAGAGGAAAAAGAAAGAAAGACAAAAAGGAATAAACATGACGAAACAAGAAGAGAAAGTAAGAAAACACAGGTAAATAAGTGAATAAATAAATAAATAAAGAGTGAGAGAATGAACAAAGAATGAGAGACCGGAAAGGAGAGGGAGAAAGAAAGAAAGAACAAGTAGAGCAAGTAAAAGTGAGGACACAAGAAAGAAAGAGAAAAAGTGACAGAAAAAGAACGAGAGAAGCAAGAGCGAAGATATTAATGGCAAAGAAACTGAAGTGTTCAAATCTCATATCAGAGTGAAGATTAATACACTCTAGACAGAAAGAGTAAAAGTCCTGAAATGAAATCAGGCTCTATTCCATTAGCAGTGACCCTCTAACCCATCCATGGACCTTTCCTATCCTTCCTCTCCACTCGTTTACCTGAGCGAGCAGTGGCAGTTTTCCCTGGGGCCCATACTTCTCCATGCTTTTCAGCCAGGCTGCTGCCCACAACCTGAGCCTGCAGCCCCTCTCTGTCCTCACACACACCGGCCACCGTGCAGCAATACACACACACACACACCGAACCTCAAGAGAAACTGATACTAATACTGCTGTCTTCAGCTCTGAATCCACAACATTAAAGAAGCAGCACGAAGCTCACAGACCGGCTACATATAACTCCAGAATACGAAGGTAAATAAGAGGCGTCCTGTAGACCGACTGGTCTACAGGTCAGCGCTGGCTGAGTGTGGTACGTGTGAGGATGGCTCCAGCAGATGTGTGACCGCACAGGAACCTTGATATGGATCAAGCAGCACAGGCATTAGGACCGCCCCGCCCTGCTGATGACCCGGCCCAAGGGAACCCCAGATAGACCCTCCACCACAGCACAACACCACTCTACGAAAAACAAATGCTCCTAAATGTTGGCATAGATGTAAATTTCTAGGAAAAAAAAAAATTTTGCTGATATAGAATCTTTACATTTTGCGGAGGCTCCTTAAAGATCTTTGCCCTCACATACAGTAGTGTTTGTCAGACCACCCTTCATTTATTTAATTTCCACTCAAAACATCCATCATGTACATGTTATTCGTTTTTCAATGTGCATAAAAAAAAAGAGAAAGTCAAAGAAAAATAAGGGAAAAAAATTAAAATCTAAAATCTAAAACGAGTTCAAAAAATGATTCAAGATTTTAAAAAAATGGCACTCCTAAAAATCACACAAGGCCTGGAAGACCATCAAAACTGCCCCCATCAGATAAACAGCACTTAAAGCTTTCACGTTCGAGAGAGAGGAGAAAATCAAGCTCCACTCTTACTTGAGAACGGCAAAAATCCACATCCAAAAAAGGAGAAAATTGGAAAATCAAACTAAGAAGCCGCTGATGTTCTCAGAACAATGGACTGGCTACTCTGGAATGTGTTTTTGAATTACTGAGATCATGAGAAGCAGCAAGTGCAACCAACTTCTAAGACCTCAGAGGTGTGGAAAAATATCTCTGCATATTTGAAAAACTGAAAGTCTCCTGAAAAGAACAGAAACTGTAATAAAGGTACTGATATAATACTGAAAAATGCTGTCATATTTAGTTGATCTCATTTTCTATTAAATATGTTTTCCTCTTTTTAACTGATGCTGAAAAATGATAACTTCTGCCATTCTGACTGACAGTTAAATAAATAAAGGGGGGTCTCTAACTTATGCACAGTACCATATCTCATTTAAAGATTTTTTTTAAACAACCATCCACTAAAAGGTTCTCCAGGGAACCAAAAGTGGTTCTTTTATGGCAGTGTAGAATTCTAAGTAAATGTTCCGAGAGGTAATGGATGTCTCTTATCTGATTATCTGATTTCCAGCATTGCTAGGGCCACATTTAGGGTCAACACTTGTTAGTTAAGAAGGTCCAGCGTGTGGTGGAGGGGGACATGAATGCCCATCTCTAACAACACAAGAACATTTCCTGCCTCTCATCTTACCAACATTCTTCCTCTATCTCAGCAAGCAAATAAACAAATCCACAAAGTCTCCGCCCTGATACATTAACCCTTCCACACCATTTAGCAACAGCTCAATGTGCATTATATTCTGCTATCCTGCAGCACGACATCTACCCTAGTCTGGACACGCCTACTAGAAGAGGTTTTTTTATAGTTACTATTTTCCACTTCCTAGAATAACAGTGAAGACTTCAAGACTATAAAATGACAAAGATGTATGCAGTGCCCAAAAAAGTGATAAAGAAATCTAAACTATCTTCTCTTTTGGGTTTGTTTAAAAAGTATCCCCCATTTGTTTTGATGCAGCTTTGCACCCCCTTGGAGTTAAAATCAAATCCAATGCGTTTTACCCCTTTCTAAAACCTCAGCAGTAGAATAATAATACACTTTCAACACACTGGTTGAAAATCAAACATGCATACATGCTTTAAGAAATATAAGCATGAATAGTTTCTCTATCAAGCTCCACTTACTGCTCTCTCTTTTCACTGCATAATCCTTTCAATGTCCTTCTGTCCTCTAACCCTTCATCAGTGGTCAGTTTCTGACCACATAAGGACCGTCAGCTGAATATTTTTGGTTGGCTGAGTTTAATATACACAATTACTTTTGTGAAAACAAAGTTCCATCCAAAGATTTTTTTTTAATTTTTTTTTTACAGAAATTTTTAATACTTCAATACTGGTGTTCTTCAAAACTTGCAATTTTCTAAAACAAAAAATCGGAAACTTTTTTTTCTGGGAAAATATAGCACATTTCCCTCAACAACAAACAGGTTTTAAAAGGAAAACTGCCTCTTTTCAACATAACTGTTAAATAAAATTAAATAAACAAAATCTCTGGCCGGTTATGGGGAAATCAGAGAAGCCAAAAGTTACGTGTGAAATGTACGCCACATTTTTAGCAATAAATCAAAACTTGTCACCTTTTTTTGCATTTTCAATGTACTGCTTGCAGTTTGCATAGAAAGTCAATGGAAACGTAGCTTATGTAATACTTTTAATGGTAAAAATAAGTCAATTTCGGACATTTTATTACCCTAAATGTTTAAAATCTATACTAAGTCTTCATAAGACTTTTTAAAGGATCTGTCGTCTTCAAGATCACTGACGAACTTCATGTTTCATTACAAAGACAGCATAATGAGTCTTACTTATCTGGCTTTAGTACAAAGCAGGATGTTAAATACTAAATAAAAATCAATGCATTCATAGTTTTCGACAGTATTTTTAAAAATGTTGCACTACTGTTTTTTTTTTTTGTCTGATCTAACTTATCAAACCTTGGAAAAATTAAATACTGTCCTACTTCTCATGTATCATGATAATGTCGAAGTATTATGATATATTTTTCATATTGCCTACCCCATTGAAAAGTTCATACATCAGGCATCAGCTTCATTATTCAGAAACAAATCAAGCATTTCACTTAAGTCTTTAATTTAAACTGTGACACATTTAATCAAACTGTCAGTACCAATCAATTTAAAATGGCCTGTTGCTGCGCTGCCAGTAGCTTCTCTGAAAGAGATGTACATAAGCTAGACTAGGCATGGTGTTAAAGGCTGAGTATTGAATGTCTCACCACGCTCTCTAAGAATTTGACTCTGTAATCATGCCCAAGGCTCTCAGACAGGATGCGCTATCCTCGCCAAAGACTCCAGTTACTTCTCAGTATGTAAACTACATCTTCGTTCTGCATTCTCTTCAAACTTCCATAGCGCCACCAAAAATACACCCAAAACCAACCCAGGAAAACCCAGCAAATCATATACCAAAAGAACAATAACTACAGCTCTAATCATGCCAAGAGTGTGTTATCCACATTTCATACAAGGCACTATCCTTGTATGTGTTTCCAAAACCACAACCCAAACCCCAAATCTGACATGCACTATAGTGACCACATACTACAGACTCTTCCACTGCAGAGACACTGGATTCAGTCAGAGCAGCTGAGCTATCAGTGGACTAGGGCATGACCGATGAGGAAATTCTGTCCTCATTATAGATACCTAACTAAACAGTGTTTTAAAGATGGACAGAACTGTCAGTTGTACATGACTATTTTCCAACCTCGCTTTATCCCTCAGAATTAAACAAGCTGTTTTTGTTACTGTGCCTTTAAGACTGACATATGTAAATTACCTTTGTTCTGACTGGCTGCCCTGTATTGTGCCTTATTCAAAAAGCTGTCTGAATGGGCGGGGCTAACCTACAGCAGGTAGGCTTAAAAGGTGCAGTATACAACTTCAATCCAAAACACTTTGTCAAATTCAGTGAACGTCTCCTCACGGTCCACTAGCTCTCTGTTCTGAATGCATGCTGGAAAAAAAATCTGATGTTTGTACACAGTCCTGGCTTGGTAAATGGGAAATAAACTAAGTGGTTTGAGACAAGAAACGCAACACCATTCTGGCCAATCAGGAACAGGGGGTGTCCACACTCATGGACAGGACAGGGAGCAGCAATCAAGAAGGAGAGATGGCCGAGAAACAGCCACAGAGGAGAAAATCTGAAGAACCAAGACGGAAAAAGTAGTTCTTAGATCCGTTGAGGGTGTTTCAGCTGTGGAGAGACCTTTGAAAGTTGACGATGCTGAAGCTGCTTCCTATTCGCATTTTCTCATTACACCTTAAATGCTGCAGTAGTTCCACTCCGGTGCCTGTGGTCTCATAGGTTGCTATATGCTATCTAAATGCTGAATGTCAGGATCAGCTGTTTTAATGTTTTTGTTATTGTAACCATAATGTTTCATGTTTCAATTTACCAGTTCAGCCTATTCTATTATCACATAAATGTATAGAGTATTAAAGTACAGAAGCAGATAAATATCAGTGTTTTATCAATGCCATTTTTGCTGATACCAATAAATCTGTGTAACCTTAATATTAGCCCATTTTATCTTCCAAACGTTATATTGGTCAGGCACTACAGAGGTCAGCTTGCAGTCCACTGGCCGCAGAGAAATTCCTGTTATGAGTGAATAAAATGAGAGCTATGTGCTATAATCTGCACATCGGATTGATGAGCTACAATCCCAAATGTCGCTGCAGTGGAAATTGTATTATAGCAGTAGCACTCTACTGTGGGCTATGAAGAGCTCAGACACTGGCCTACCTTTCTTAGACTTGCCTGCAGGAGGAGAGAGTGAAGACCCAAGATCAGATTATGTCATACTTCAGAAGAGAACAGTGCTATATTATTATGTGAAACGTGGTGTGTGTGTGTGTGTGTGTGTGTGTGTGTGTGCAAGAGAGAGAGAGATAAAGAGAAAGAGAAAGAGAGAGAGAGAGAGCAAGCCTTACCCTTGTGCAGACGGCGTGTGTCCGTCTCTTTAGGAGACACTGTGAGGACCCGGTTCAGCACACTGCCGCAGCTGGAGCTCTGAGCCAATGGCAGGTGAGACTGAAAACAAAGAAAGAGTAAACAATGAGAAAATATCTTTAACGCTTGCTTTGAAGACAAAACTATTGTAACCATGTAGGAAAACCAGACACAACAGCTACCATATATATATATATATATATATATATATACATACATATACATATACATACATATATATATATATATATATGTATATATATATATATATATATATATACACACACATACACACACATACATATATATATATATATACACACACACACACACACACACACACACACATATATATATATATATATATATATATATAGATGTAAAGGCGGGGCCAGGAACCACCAGGGGAAGTGTGGGAGTATGTGTGAGCTTGCAGAGAGAGGAGAGAGACGTGAGACATGAGCTGAGTCAGAGAGCTAGCTGTAAGAGATGAAAGCTTTGCTTATGTACAGCGTGGCTGTACGGCGTGGCTGTGGCCGACAACAGCTGGAAAATAAAACACCATGACTTGTGTGAAAGCTGCTTCTCTTAATAGCGGTAAAGGCTTCAATATACACAGAGCTGTGGAAAAGTCAGAGAGCACCCTGCATTATTATTACAATTATTTCATTTTCAGTTAAAGGGGTACAAGTAAAAAGTTATTAATATTTCAGTATCAGGATGGAAAAAGCCTAAAACATATTTAACAGAAAATTACACAGAAGCCTCAACAACTAAATATAACGTTTTTGCAAAAGCCTTTATGGCAGCTTTTGTTCTTTTCAGGACACTTGCTTCCAGTTTATCAAAGAAATCTGCAGGGATATTCTTCCACACCTCCAATGTTCAGTTGTAGAAGTTGGTTGCTTTTTCTGCTTACCCAAATAACGCCAACACATACACAAAAATGTTGAGGACTGGACTCTGGGGTGGTCAGTCCATTGTTCTGAAAATACCAGCAGCTTCTTTGTTTGATTTGCAAATTGTCTCTTTCCTTTTTCAGTAAGAGCTTCTTGACAGCTACACATCCTTTCAGACCCATAGAGTTGAGTTGTCTCCTCACAGTGGAAGGATGGCTGTGGATGTTTTCAGATCTGAAGCAACAGTGGAGCTTGACTTTCTCCTCTCTCTCAAAGATGAAAGCTTTAAGTGCTGTTTATCTGCTGGTTTCTCTAATGTTGCACAATTGTTAGGAGCCCCATTTTCTCTATATCTTTTAAACATTTTTTGAAAACTCCTGTTTTTTTGTTTAACTTGTTTTCCTTTGACTCCCCCCTTCCTTATGCAAGAAGATTATTTTGGATCTAATGTCCCTAGAAATATCTTCTGAAAAAAAGGAAAATGACATCTACTGGTTTTGACTGGAAATTAAATAAATGAAACCCCTGCCTTTGCACAGTTCTGTATATATACTACATATGAGACACATGACACATAGGTACCCACATACACATAACATATGAGACATATTATTACATATAGGCATTTAACACGTATGGAATATATGTACGACCCCATGTTCTAACAAAATATGTGTGTGTCTGTGTGTTTTCTCACTTTAGAAGGCATGTTGCGGCCCAGCGTGGCACAGCTGAACTGAGGGTTGATGGCTGGCTGCGTCTTTTTCCGAGGAAGCGTGTCGCACAAGTGTCCGTCCTTACCCAGCCTCCTCCTTTCCTCCATACTTCGGAAATGCTGAGGAGAAAACACACGTGAAGAGGAAACAATATCACATGAAGTCACGCTCACCTGTCTGCAGGAACACACACAGAGCGCACACGTGGTTTACCTGCCTGTGGCGTGGGTGCTTTTTGGCAGGGAGAGGTGGAGGGGTGGAGTCAGGGAGAGGAGAGGGATTGAGGTAGGTGACCATATCCTCCGGCCAGTGCACGGAGGGGGGTTTGGGAGCAGGGCGAGAGCACGCAGAGAGAGAGGAGGAACAGGGAGGACAGAGCAGCGAACAGGAAGAGACACAGAGCTTTGTAAAGGACAAGAAAAGAAAAACAGGGAGAAGAAAGAGGAGACAGATGAAAGTCTTAACCCCTACGATTAAACGCACATTTAAGAACAGTGGTTTGCCCCAAAATCAAATTTACATGTTATCTATTTTTATAGATTTGTCCTTTTTCACAGTTCACAGTCAAACAGTGCCTAGAAACCATTTAAGCAAGTCTACTCTAGATTATTTAACAACTTGACCCAGTTTGAGGGAAACGTCAGACGATTTCGACCTCATACATATGCACCAACAGCACTGCTGACAATCTGTCCATCCACTCGAGCATGCCAGCCCAGTAGGGGCCGTAATACCTCGTAAAATTTGATGTCAAATGCCTCAAGAAGAGCAATGTGAGCGGACCACGCAAAATATAGACAGCACCACAAAGCCAAAGCAGAAATTTCCTAACAAAGTGAAGGCATTGTGTTATAACCACAGCAGGGTTTGACTAATTCTATATCTCAACACCTGATTTCTGCCAGAAAATAAGATGCAATGGGACTGTTTACGCTGCCATGGCTATACCACATCTCTGAAATGTCCACACAATCCTGATCTTGTAGAAAAGCTGATTAGGATTTTTCCAAGTCACATATCTTTAGAATCATTAGGAATTTTTTTCCAAATTTGCGGTTAATTGAGTATAGTACATTCTTACGCCTCTTCACTACATGCTCATTCAAATTGTCAACAGTGTCAATTCTCAAATCACCCTCAAATTGCTGATAACACAGAGTTCTGCATGCTCAATAAATGAAAATAATAACAGCTTCACGCAAGTTAATGGTGTGGTCTTTGTTTTCAAAAAGCTGCATTTTGCCCTGAAAATGTAGTTTTCAAAAATCTCTGAAAGCAAAAGCAAAAATCTCAAAAAACAGAGAATTTTCTTTTTTAAATGCACGGACACGTGTGGACATTTTCTTAGGTATTCGTTTAGGCATTAGATATAAGTGATGCCAATTTCTAAGGTACGAGCTTACATTACTTGTTAGCTCAGTGTTCCCCACACAGTTTACTGACGTCAAAAAGTATATTTTTTTCCTTTTTTAATATGGTCCAATTGCCGTTTCATCACATTTTAACAGATAATACTTCATATTTTTATGAATACTAATGAAAACTATGGTGCACAATGTCACTGATGCAAAACAACGCTCTTTTTTCCTCAACTGAAACCTAAACTCCATGAGTTGCTTCACATCTAAAAACAAAAAAAACATGGAAGGTTCAACAATCATTTGTTTTACGGCTTTTTCGAATACCCGATTCAGTAAAACCCACGCTATGATGAATCTGGCTATCCATACTATGAAATAACCCCCCACCCCTCTCATCACTCAGTTCCCCCCGGTGAGTTTCAGATCTGTAGGAAACACTGTAGCTGCTTTAGCCTCCAGTACAAAACTAAAGAAGTTAACTTTTGGCCTGTAAACAAGTCTTAAATGAATGGCTACATACAGGCTAAGGGGAAAACTGTGCCAATTTGTTTTTTGGCCAAACCATCACTTTAATTACTGAACATAAACACTGTAATCTTGGCACCGACACTCAAATAACCCAAATAACATCATGATGCTGCTGACAGCCGCATGTGGAGGCTCCACATCAACGCGCGCACACCCATTCACACACCTCGTCCTGTCCGGGTGGGGGGCTTCTGTCCTCGGGACTAGGCCCAGGGCTGGGGTGGGGTTCAGGCCCAGAGGTGGGGGCTTCGGGGGAGGGCTGTGCTGAGGCAGGGAGGGGGGCTGGGGTGGGGTCTACCCCCAGCTGAGAATATAGTTCATTGATCTCACTGACTGTGACATAGCCCTGTGGAACAGACCATTTGAAAAACAGGAGGGGGCGGGGTTAGGAGGGTTGAAAGGAAAGACACATTAGAGTAGGTTAAATCATCACAACAGATGGCAAGCATTAATAACTGAAAACAAACAAACAAACACATCACCATATGTTAAGCACCCAAAGAAAGTTAAAGATGCAGCGTAGAGCAGGTCACAGGTTTGGTGTCACAGGTTTAGCATCACAGGTTGCAGAACTGAATTTGGCGTCATGCAAGCCCATGCGGTGCAAGCACAGTACTAATGTGATACCTCAATGCTCTTGATGGACAGAGAGGACAAGAGAGAGGAAAAGGCCAGGAGGTCAGCAGGAGGTAGAGAAAGGCATTTATGGGTGTTGCTTAAGTTGCTTTGAGGCTGACACACATCAGCCAATGAGAAGCTATCCTGGAACACAGGGAAAGAGACCCACCAGTTTCCATGGTCATCACCCAGGCACATTCCAGTATCAGGGTGAGCTACATGAGGCCGTATGTGATGGGTGAGAAGACAAGGGTGCTACTAGTCCTTCTCGCGCAACATTGACACTGTTGTGCTGTTTAAAAGTGCACGGAGAACGTGAAGCACAGAAAGACGTGGCACTGACTAACACTGCATGTGTAGTCCAGTGCAAGAGGGAAAGTATTATAGTCCTTATCCTCAATGAAGGACTATAAACACTGCCAGAAAATCAGTTAATGTTTCAGACCTACCTCTTTCATACTGAGGGGGTTGACAGGGAAGCCCCGCCCACCTGTGAGCTCAGCATACTTCTTCTCCAAGCTAGCCAGACTCTCCTTTTCCTATGAGAAAGGTATGTTTGTGACATTTCAGTCAGCAACTGAAGAAAACTAGGTAGAAACAAAAGCCCTTTTCACATAAGAAATCCAGAGTATTGTCTGATTAAAGGAATATGGCAGCATTTTTGAACATAATCTCTATGTGCTGCATCTGCATCGTCCGTCGACTACCGTGGATGATCATTTCTATACTTTTTGCTGTACTGAAAAGAACTGAAAACTTGTTCACCCCAAACCCACTTATAATACAAGCAAATAGGCAGCTGCTGAATTCTCAGGCATATTCACACCTGCAGTTAGGGGTGGGCAATATCACAATATCACGATAAATATGCTTTTCTGAGCACATTGTGGGTATCTTAAGTACTTAAAAACACTAACCAGCTGACTGCTTCATTACAAAATGAGCATAATTAGGCCTGTTTAAGTGGACTAAGGTTGACGAAAAATCATTGTAGCTGTAGTATTTTTGTGGCTCTACAGGTTCTACTTTGTCTGCTTCAACTATTAAATCTCAGTAAAGTAGATATTGATGCATATTGTGTATCACGAAAATGTCAAAGTATCCTGATATAATATTTTTGCCATATCACCGGATCGAAGTCTTGCTTTTCATTTCAGCACTAATGTTAACAGGTCAACACATTTACACCAGTTTACACCACGCAGCAAAATACAGAAATAAGGTCTGAAAATCAGTAAAAATAAATCAAAAACACAAATAAAAACCTTAAATTGTGACTGTTAACAAATGAAATACTAGCTGATATTTTGTGCTGCATATACATTTTCCGGTAGGTCTACCAAACTTGAAATGACTGCCCAAGTCAGAAAGCTGTGGAGAGTAAACATATTGCATTAAGTAACTGATTCCAGTACTTGACTCTTTGGGAAAAGGATGTCTGTAGTGCCTGCAGGCTGCATCGCTCCGCATCACAAACGCTGTATGTGTGAATGGCCAGTGTTTGTGAGCTGTAGAAGTCACGCAGAGGTAGCATGTGTGTGAAACAATCATTATACAGCGATATTCTGTTTTTCTTGTTCACACTTTTGTACCCAGAACAATTTTACTAGCACTCAGCCCAGTAAATCTCTGCGTATCTTATTGCATATCTTCGTTGGCATTTAGCTCTTGGCTTGCGTTTACACCCAACCCCATCTTAGAAAACTGCTGAGGGTAAAGCTGCATGTGAAAAACGGGTAAATGAGGTCTATGTCCTTCCTGTTCCTTATTCAGGGATGACATCAGGGGTTTTATTCAAAAACCACTTTAGAAATATAAGACTGCTGGTACAGAATTATTTTTTGTGACCAGCATTGATAAAGAGGAATCTGATCTGAGTTCAGGGCTGCTTGGTGAAGAAACTCACCTGCTGAAGCATCATCTGCAGGTTATTCTTCTCCTTCACAAAGCTATCCTTCTCCTTCTGGGCCTGCTGGATTATCTGTGCTGACTGCTTCTTCAGGGCTAGAAGCTTTTCCTGGAAGTGGAAGTTGTAAACAGTTAACAGGAACACACACAAAAAAAAACAAAAACAAAAACCTCAAAACGCTCTTTTTGTCTATTTTTTGGGACATCACTTTGAAACAGCACCTCCCCTGTACATTGTGTAAATGTTTCATGAAGACTGGATCAGCAGTGAACCTTTTCTATTTTTAAGTAACATTAACAGATGACAAGGTCATTTTTCTTTGTCCTGTTAAGTCATTGCTTGGGTCATACAGGGTTTTCTTGCAACAGTGACAATATACATGCATGCCAACCAAACACCTGTTTGCGCTACCTTGCGGGTGACGGTGCTGCGCTGGTACTCTGCGATCTCTCTGAGGATCTGCTGCGTCTGGGTCTCTTTCTCTTCGTCCTGACGACTCTCTTTCTCCAGCTGCTGGAACTCCAGATCCTCAAAGCGTTTGGTCTCCACTTCCAACACCTCAGAGTCCTATATCACAAACACATATCATTTTAATGGCTGGGTAAACCAGACCAAGTCCAGCTCTGAGGAACTGAACTTCACTGGTGAAATGTGGACATACTAAAGGAACCATGTGAACCTGGTCCTCATCTGGCAGACAAAAGGCTTTTTCTCATTAACTGGTATTGTTTTTAACACCCTCTAATCTATTGGTTTGATATAATATCACATGCAGAATGTTTGTAGTCTGCCAAAAATATCTGCCAGACATTTTCAGACATAATCATTTAATTTTGCATGTTTATGAGCCTACACTGTGAGTTCTAGCATGAAGTACTATCAGGTATCAGTTGAGGCTACTATTACTACCACGTCTAACTTAGGCTACTATAATTATAACTAACTAGAATAACTTTGCAGCTGATTTTCTGCTGTGCTTAAGGTTCGACCTCCAGGCCCTCAGGACTAGACCCGTCATGATCATGAGATTTTAGCTGATGATTAACTGCCGTAAAAAAAAATTCTGCAGATTTTTGTTCAATGTATGCTATTAAATTACAAACTTAAAGCAGCCAAATAGGCTGATTAGCTAACTTGCTTCCAAGCTGTCAATACTTAATAGCTCCCATTTGGTGACAGAAACAGCTCAAACTCAAATAAACCAACAATACACAGTGCTGCCCTCTAAAGGTGTTGTATAAGTTTGCACTTTCTTGTTTTTGTAAGACCCATGACATCTCAATAAATGTGCTTTCTTTACTTACATAAATTGGCCTCAACCTGACATAAACATATGACTGTGAAAGCTAACACCCACAGAAAACATCTGCGATTAGCATAAATAATCACAATCAGGTGATTTTAATTACTTTCAGGCGATCAGGTAACAATTGTGACAGGCTGCACAGGACACTGTACAGAAATGTGCAGGTTAGCTAGTTATGTCAAATTCAATTATGTTTCCTTTATTAAGTTCCTAAGTTATCCTTATTAAGTTCCTTTATTTTTTTTTTTAATTAAAAACAAACTAAGTGAATATTTATGTGAATACTTCACATAAATAAATGTAACTAAACAAATAAATTGCCAGTTCATTAAGGTCAATTAGGGTTTATTTCCACCAATTAATATATTAACCACATTGCATGATGAGTATATGTGACACACTCCAAAAACACCCACGTGCTCATACATGACTGTGTTAAAATGAAACATCTGACCGTCTCCCCAGTCCCACCACCTGCAGCCGCCCAGAGCTCAGTCCACTCATTCCAGCCCCTGCAAGTAAGCAAAGTTTCACCCCGCCTGGAGGCAACCCCAATCACACATCTGCTCTCCCGCTGGCCGCCACTCGAGACGCAGCAACTCTCACTGCTGACCCCTGACCTTTACATAAATCAAGTCATCACATACATAACCAACCAGACTCTCCAGAGGACATTAAAAACAGCCGTCATCCAGTCCAGCTACAGCCACTGCCTTCGTTCCCTGCATTCTCAACGGTTTCGTCACTGACTCCTGCCCCCATTAACCACACACACATTCCTCCTGCTCCTGCCTTTCACCCGCTGCGTGATAACTCGGTGTACAGACAGTGGGTGGTCTCCGATCGTCATTACACAATGGCCATCAGCTTTCTACAGTGTGTATGGAGCATGCAGGCACGGCTTGATAGCAACAGCACTGAGAGCAGAGCTGCACGATAATAACAAAATACATCACAATTATTAGATATTGCAATCATGATGTGCCAAAAGACTCTGAGGGACACAGTTGAATATTGGAAGCATTATTTTGACCATTTGTCTGGTGGTAATAAACTACATGTAACGCACGCTCTTAAAAAAGATGGTTTGCATAATTAAAGGGTTCTTTGCATCGTGAAAGTGTTCTTCAGACTGATGGAGAATGTGCTGTAGATGGTTCTTTTTGAACCGTTTTGAAAAGGGCTCTATATAGCACCAAAAAGGGTTCCACTATTGTTACAAGCCAAAGAACCCTTTTTTGGTATTATATAGAAACCTTTTTGCTAAGAGTGTAGATCAAATAATCTGTTTACTAATTAGTAAATATTATAATAAAATGTATAGTAGGACACCTGAAATGTTATATGGAGATATTTAGATTAGTCACTTTTTTGAAGATCCAAAAAAAAAAAATAAAAAGCAAGTGAAAAGATCTCAAACCTTTTTTTCCTCACTTAGACATTTTATCCTATATTAAATAATTTATGTCACAAAACAAGAACAAAAGTCATCAATCAGGTTATTATGATTATACTGTCCACAGTTATGATATTAAATCAGGACTTTGTTTCAACAAGTAGCCTTCTCTTACACTGTATTACTTCAAGTTTAGTTAGTTAGATAATATCTGATTTTGATTGAAAGCTGTTGTAGTACTGAATTTAGGGGGTTAATTTTGGTACTACTTGATAACTTTCTTTGTCAGAAATCTTAGAAGTTGACTTGTTCACACAGTATTTGTGGTGTATTCAGATGTGAACTGAAGTTAATAGAAGATGATGCAATACTCAGATTTTCTGTTGCTCTATTTGGTAAGCAGTCTTGACGCATAATGGTTTAATAGTATGAAGCGTAACATTGTGTCTCAGATAACTAACATTACAGTCTAGACAAGAGAAACTGACTCATATTGAGCCCCTGTGGCACATTATTGGTAATGGAAACTGAATCTCAGATGCTTATATGAAATATTTACATGAATATTCCATAATAACATGAAATACTTACATATTTTCTTCTTATTACTGAATTATATTCATTGAGGTCCAGTTATGACATATTGTGTGCCTTTATGCAATAAAATCTATCATAATTCACTTTTACATGACCATTTTTCAACCTCTTTTTATTCCTTAGAATTTAACAGACTATTTTTTTTACTGTGCCTTTAAGACTGATTTATGTAAATGACCCCTGTTCTGACTGGCTGCCCTGTAGCACACCATTCAAAAAGCAGTACAGACTAAAACACTCTTAATAACTTTATGCGCAGAGTTAAACTGCTGTAGGCTGAAGGGGTGGATATGTAAATGATTTGATTTTTCATAACATCACAAAAAACAAATGAATTCAAAGGGGGCTCTTTTTGCAGCTTAGTTTCCATATAAGGACTGTACAGACTGAGGAGAGAATGGTAGTTTTGAAACTTTAACAGTAATCTACCAACACTGATTATGACCAAATGTAACTACTCTTGCTGAATCATGTCTTAATTTATCCCAACAGCTATCGGGAATGTCTGTAATTGGTCAGGATCACAGACATTCTGGGAATTTGTTAAAGGCGCATTAGCATTTTTTTAGCCTTCTGCAGTGATGATCATAATGGCCAATATTATGATAATGATCAACAAACACTACATATCGTGCAGCCCTGATATCTGGAGTGAGTGAGCAAGCAAACACACACAGGAGGAGGAGGATGAGGAGGAGGATGAAGACTCCACGCAAGTACTGACCCTGGAGAGCTGGAGGAGGAGCTGCTCTGTCAGGGCCTCGGGGCACGTGTCCAGCTGAGCACGCTGATCGGCCAGCAGGGCGGCCAGCCGCTCTACCTTTACCCGCTCAGCATCGAGCTGGGCTTTATCCTTCATCGCACAAACAGGGCAGAGAGAGAGGGCAGAGGCGTTAGTGCAGGCGCAGGTCAGGCAGGCTGGGTTAGTTATCACACTGGGATCAGCAGAACACATGGAACATGGAGGAGGGTGATGGATGAGCTGTGATTACGTATTATAGTATTATGGCAAGGGAAAAATGCAATATGGATTAGTGTGGCTTTGAAACAGGAGAAAAGCTTTGATCTATTTGTGACAATAAATCCAAACTTTGAAGTTAAAGTGCCCATATTCTTTACTCTCCCTGAAGTCCTCTCACAACATTTTATGTACCAAAAACAACACAATTCATTACACACGACCAGTTTCCAGCCTCTCTTCTCCCTTTACAATTAAACAGGCTGTTCTAGTGCTGTTTTATGTCATTGATATGGTAATGACATCTTTTCTGACTGGATGGCCCTGTCACAAGTGAAACGAGGTGCACCATGTAATTTATGGCACAAAACTAGAACAAAGAGTCATCAATTGGGTTAGTACGATTATACTGCCAACAGTTATGATATTAAATCAGCTTTTTCACTTCAACAAGTAGCCTTTTCTTACATACTTGGATTACTTCAAGTTTAATTAGATGATTGAAAGCTGTGTTGTAGTGCTGAATTTAGGGGGTAATTTTGATACTACTTGATAACTTTCTTCGCCAGAAATCTTAGAAGTTGTTTGTTCTAGAAGCAGTCAGAACAGTTTGTTCTGTTTGGACTCAAATCCTCAGGGATTTTCAGCCGCGATTTTCAGACAACGCCTTTTTAACCAGTATTCAGTCTTTCTCATCCGGAAAAAAAAGCAGGACAGTCTTTATAGGGGGCTGGTTAATGCAATTGATCGACAAGCAGGTAAACACCTGAAAGTGATTTGAGAAAACATGAAAGACAGACACAATAAACATTTTGAAATGGACATACAACGATGAGCCAAAACATCATGACCAATATACTCTTGGTGTCTACAGACCTCTGAAGGTGCCCTGTGGTATCTGGCAGCAGATCCTTTAAGTCCTGTAACTTGTGAGGTGGAGCAGTAACAGACTGGACTTCTTGTTCCAGCACATCCCACAGATGCTGGATCGGATGGAGATCTGGGGAACCCAAGGCACTGCCCAGAGCATTACACTCCCTCCACTGGCTTGTCTTCTTCCCACAGTGCATCCTGGCGCTATTACTTGCCTAGGTAAACACTGCGCATGTACCTGGCCATCCTCATGATGTAAAGGAAAACGGAACTCATCAGACAACGTGATCTTCCACTGCTCCAAGGAACCGTTCTGATGATCACGTGTCCTTTGTAGGCACTTTTAGCGATGGACAGGGGTCAGCATGGGCACTCTGTGGGCTACGCAGTCCTATATGCAGTAGATGTACTGTGTGTTGGGACACATTCCTCACGTAACCACCATTAAAAAAAGGGTACCACAGTTACCCTTCTTTCAGTCTGGACAGATGGGATAGTTTTTATTGCTCTCGCACTTTGATGAGCCTTGGGTGCCCATTGTTCTGTCGCTACTTTGTTGTTTGTCCAGGCTCAGACCACTGCCGGTAGGTACTCACCACTGCTGACCGGAAGCATCCCCCACAAGCCTTGCTGTTTCAGACCCTTAAATGTGCCGTTGTTAGGAGACAAGCAACGTTATTCGCTTTATCTGAGAGTGATGATAATGTTTTGGCTCATCTTTGTATATTCATAAACAGCAAACTCAAATATTCAAATTTGAGGTAATTTGGGTAATTTGTGTTGAGCGTTGAAAAATCTGGTTGTTTGAAAACCAAAACTAGCTTTTCCCTCCATGTTGGATGAGAGACAGAGGCAGGGTTTCTGCTAGAGAGAAGGCGATACTGATTGGTCAGCTGTCGAAGACGTGTGATGCTCTTTGTTGGGCGTTCAGCAAAACAGTTGACAATTTTTCAACCTAAAAATGATTTATAAATGCAGCATACATTGCTCATGCTAGAGGAGTGCTTTTAAGTCACTGTGCATGTTGCTCCACATATAACAATGAAAAGAAGCAGGCTAGAGAGATCTGAATATCCCCTTAGGAAGCTATGCAATCATATTTGCTTACCTTGTTCATATGGACTAAACTTGTTTTTAGTGAATAAAACGTCAAGAAAGCAAAGCAAATTTAGTTCCACTATGTGGGCCCTTCAACGTCAATAGGAATTATCAAACGCTAGTGGTACAGACGCCAACTTGCACTGCTATCCTAGAGTCCAGCACCATCACAAGACCTCTCTAGCAACATTCACACTCTAACCTCTCTCTCTGTCTAGCATGGCAGATGGACCTCGAGTGTCCAAGCAGCTGCCAGAGTAACTGGACAATGCCGGAAGTCGACCTGAACTCGAGCCTACAGATGAGCGGGGCCACAGGTGCTGTCAAATCACCAGCTGAGTGTGTGGAAACAGAACACACACACATACACACACACACACTCCAACTCAGTATAGATATATATGAGCCTAGGAGTGAAACAGATAGGGGGAGCTTATCACCTCTGAGTAAGACTGGCCGGCTGCCTTACAGCGTGTGTATGTATGTATGCATGTATGTATGTATGTGCGTACGTATGTGTGCACACTGCAAAAAATGTTACCATCTTGGCAACTAAAATCATCTTAAATCAAGCTGATATATCTAATATTTCTCACGTTGAGATTGTTATAAGAATACTGTAAGATATATACTTAAGAAATATATTTAAATCATTTATTTCTTGAAATAAGCCAAATTTTCTGCCAAAAGAAGTCACTTCACTTTACAAAATTACTTAAAACAAGTAAAAACATCTTAAAATTAGCTGAATAATACTAATGCACCAAAATGAATATCCATGGCAAATTCAGCATACACTAAGCTGAAACCGAAAACAGCTAACAAAACAAAACAAAAATAAACAGTCTAAATGAAATAAATGTAGTAAAATTATTGCAGTATGCACATTACAGCATGCACCACAAAATCCAACGTCCTCGACAACAGAGACTGACTGGTCATTCAAGGCATTCAAGGTCGTTTTCTTCATCATTTCAAAAATAGACGGCAGTGGTTTGCTCACGTTCCATTCTGCTTCTGTTTTGCTGTATTCGGCCTGTCTAATGTCCCTTGTAGAAGCTGAAATAGATCTAAGTGGCTGACATTTTTGCTGCTCAAACTGTTTCAACTCCCTACGGAATGCTTTTATGATATTTGCAAAAATATATGCAGATTTTTTGGAACAATCTCAAAATGAGAAATATTAGATATATCATCTATATTTAGGATATTTTCACTGGCTAAGATGTAGTTGTTTTCACAGTGTGCATGTGGGTTCAGTTGAGTACCTGAGATTTCTCTGCCTGCACTTTCTTCTCCATGTCAGCCATCTTTTCTTTGAGTTTCTCCAAAGCCTCCTTCTCCTGCTGCAGCAGAGCCATCTCAGAGTCCTGCTCTCCTTCCAAAAGAGCACGCTCCACCTCCATCTACACACACACACACACACACACACACACACACACACACACACACACGACACAGTTATTACAAAATTAACATTGCATAAAATGTGCTAGAACAGAGACGATGTATCTGCTGCCCCATCCTTGATCAAGAAAGTAAAGAAGTCAGCATTTTTTTTTTTCACTAACTTATTATTAGGTATATTTTGAACCTCTCGTGTTGTTATTGCGCAGTCATGCCTGTATGAGGAACTCCTGGTCAAAAATGTTCCAAACCGACACGTTTTGCTAGACGTACGTTTTCCCCCAAAATACCACTGGATCCTCTGGAGCCACTACTTTTTCCCATAGAGAAACCTGTAGTTCCATATAATAGCATGATAAGGACCACAGCATTGATCGACTTGAGAGGTCTATGGAAACAATTTCATTATTGTTTTCCATTCATTGCCAAATCACTGGGTTAGGCAGTGGTGCAACCATCTATGCGTTGGGCCTTGTTGTCGGCAGATCGCAAATTAAATCCCCAGGGATGCCACAGCCATCCGTCTCCAAGAGTCCAAGACAGCAGAACTGGCCTGGCTCCCTCTGGTGGGTAGGATGGACCTCCCTCTCCCTCATTAATCTACTGAATGCAGGCCAATGCAGGCATCTACTGGCTGACATAACAGAACTGGCAATTAACACTCTCCTCCAAGTGCACTGAGCTGTCTAATGACGACTCAGCAGTTAAAACAGATGCGGTGGTGCTTCTTGCTTGGAGGAAGCACATGCTAGCTTTCATTCACACAGGTGGGTAGGCACTGTGTGATAGGGGAGAACAGGCTAGCAGGTGGAATTGGCCATGATTACATTAGGGAGAAAATGTGGTAAAAAACTTAAATTATAAGACTAAAGAATAAAAGTCTGGATCCAGAAGGTCTGGGAAGTTTAAACAGGGTAAACAGTAGATAAAGTGAGTAAAAACAATAGAAGTCCAGTGATGACATCCTAAAGTATTACTGGTTCATATTCTGAGACCTCAGGTCTCACACAGACTTAAAAATCTGCTAATTTTCCTACATTCTGGTCTCAGGAGATTGTACCATGCAAAAAACCACTGTCTAACAGCCAAAGCTCCAGGAGTTATTAAAATAAATTCCTAATAAGGGGCAGAGAGTAACTGTCTTCTACTTTTGGCAAATATAATCCAATTGGCTATATTGCACAGTAATGAGGAAGTGCTATAAGATGAACAAAGCTATCACTTTCATTCAGTCTCACTATTAGTACAATCAATTCTAACATTCCTAAACAATGCACTTGTATTATCCCCTTCAGACTGAGGCATCATGATGCACTGATGCACTTTTATACCTCTGCTGAAGGCTCTGTCACAGATCCTGATTAATGCTCCACACCTACCCCAAGGCAAAACTACTTCAGGACCAAGGTGAGCAAGCACTGACCTTGTGCTTGTTTCATGAAGAAACACAAAACAAATACACTGACTCTCTCTTTTTCTCTCAGTTACATGGACTTCTCTACCTCTCTGACAGACTCCTCCATCTGGTTGTCCAGCTCTTTGATCTTCTGCTCGAGCTCCTCCATGTTATTGAGCACTTGGATCCTCTCCTCCTCGATTCGTGTCACCTCCTGTTTCAGCTCCTCCTCGGACCCCTGCGGACGACATCACATCCTCAAAATCCAAACATACTGTCGTACACTGATGACGCTACTGTGTGGCAAATTAAAACAACAACAACAACTATTATGATCTTATCTACTTTCTTAGCAGAGAAAGTCAGTAACTATTTCAAAGTCAGGCTAGCAAGAGAGTCTGGGATGAACCGTTAGTGGAGGAATCCCTGAGCCCCACTCAGAGAGGTGATGATAGCAGGCCAGCTGTCCACACATGCTCTTTTGCCCTTTAATTTAATAAACACTCTGCCTACACAGCATATATACCGTCTGTCAGAAGTTGGCCTGTCTTTGAATGACTCTCTCTGTTATTTTCTACTGAATACTAAATAACATCGACAAAGTTTTTTAACATAAACAGTTATTTGCTAATACTTTGGATATATTTAGCTTCAACACCTTTCTTCAATATGAAGGGAAGGTTTGGCCTAAATAATGATTTGCCTGTTTTCATTGTTAACAAGACATGAAAATCTTCTGGACCAAAGCTAAAAGGTTTGAGTGATGACATTACAACAAGGGGATAAAATGTGGGCCCTTTGGCTTTATCCTCAATGTGGCACTGACACAAATACTGTCTCAAATACAGGAAGATTCATTCGAAAGAGGCCCTGAATATTCTGTAATAACTCTCGTTAGGACGAAGCAATCTGAACGAAACAATGTGATCCTCAGTATATGGAGCTTTGAACAAGCCGGGATGCCCCTCGGAGCGATCACTTCCAGCATCGCATGCAATGCAATCGATTACACATACGTCAAGGTATGTAGTGGATTTTTTTGGTTCAGATGGCTTCATCCTAACAGGAGTTACAACAGAATATTTGGGGCCTCTTTCGAGTGAATCTCCCTGTGTTTACACGTGATACTGTTTTTCTCTAAATAAACCTGGTGGCTGTGTCAAAAAGTAGAATTCCTTAGGTCAGATCACTCATACACACTTAAAAAAGATGGTTCTTTAGTAAAGAAAATGGTTCTATATAGAACCATGAACATTCAAAGAACCCTTTGCATGCCTAAAGAGTTCTTTGCATCTTGAAAGTGTTCTACAGACTAATGGAGCATGTGTTTTATATGGTTCTGTATAGAGCCTTTTTCAAAAGGGTTCTATACAGCACGAAAAAGGGTTCTTCTATTGCTACAGGCTTGACATTGAAATGATAGAAGAACCCCTTAGCATGATATATAGAACCCTTTTCAAAAAGCTTCTATAGTGAACCATCTATAACACATTCTCCAAAATATGAAGAACATTTTCATCATGCAAAGAACCATTTAAGCATGAAAAGGTTCTATTTAGAACTCAAGGTTCTAAATATAAGCATTCCATTTATTAAACAACCATCTTTTTAAGTGTGTACGTCTTCTTTTATAGCTACCTGAGCTCTGCTGTTATTTCTAACTAGAAATAATGTTATTTTACTCTCCTAGCTTTTCTAGTTTGCAAGCTAAGAGCTTCACAGCTCGCAACAACCAAACAGATGGACAGTGCAGCACAGTTCCCATTCTATTAGCCAGACAGAGCAAGTATTCATAAAGTCTATGTTCATTACACTCAGACGTCCCAAAAAAGTGGTCTGCTGAGGGCAAGTTCTCTACTGAAAAACAGAATTTACAAAAGGTTCTTTATAGAACCATCTACAGCAGATTCTCCATCAATCTGAACAACCCTTTCACCATGCAAAGAACCCTTTAATCATGCAAACGGCTCTGAGTGTTCATAGGTCTATATAGAACCATTTTCTTTACTGAAGAACTCTTGAGGAACCATCGTATGAGTGTAGGGCAGAGAAAAAAAGAGGATCTGTTGGTGATTTTTTTTAGCCACATGCTAACCTACAGTACAGCACAAAGGTCACAGACCACCCTTCACTTATTTTACTTAGTGGCTAGTCAAAACTTTTAACTCAATTTTTCAACTTCCATTCTTTCTTTAAGAGACTGGTCTTCAGTTTTTCAAAGAAAACTGCAGGGATATTTTTCCACACCTCCAAAGTTCAGTCTTAGAAGTTGGTTGCATTTTCTGATTCTCACGATCAAAGTAACCCCAATTACAAATTTAGACTCATCAGTCCATAAAACCTTATTCCTAATGAGGTACAGTTTCAGTGCTCTAGTGTAAGTTTTCATTTTGTCTGTCTCCTTTTCTCAGTGAGGTTCTTCTTGACAGCTACACATCCTTTCAGACCCACAGCGCTGAGTCGTCTTCTCACAGTGGAAGGATGGACAGAAACACCTGTGGATGTTTTCAGATCTGAAGCAGCTTGATTTTCTCCTCTCTCTCAGAGATGATGGTAGTCAGGAGAACCTTCTCTGTATCTTTTAATAATGTTTTGAACTACAGTTTTGGAAACTCCTGCTTTTTAACTTATTTTCATTTGACGCTGCCCTTGCTTATGCAAGTGGATTATCTTGTATCTAATCTCCTCAGAATGATCTCCTGAAAAATAAATGAACTTGGCTGTTTTGACTGTAAGTCTTCACAGATACGTTCAGATGGGGAACCGTAAGCACCAAGGAATGCAGATGGCAGTTAAGTGCACGTGCAACAGCAGAACAAACAGGTGAAAAGAGTGATGGGCTTTTCTCTCACTGTGGAGCTAAAAGAATGACGTGTCTAATCTCTCCCTCACTTTAGTACAAACACACTGCACATAACCTCACTATATTTGGACAATGATGTTTATCTGTGAACCACACAGTTTAGGATATGGAGTGTGTCCCAGACCTGCACCACAACAGAGAGAGAGAGAGAGAGAGAGAGAGAGAGAGAGAGAAGCAGGCAGAGAGCGGGAGGGAGGGAGAAAGAAGGTCCGAGACAGTGACAGAAGGGGGGAGGGGGGGAGGGAGGGAGAGAGAGCAGAAAGATAGAGAGTGAGTGAAAAAGAGAGAAAAAGGGAGGGAAGGATGAGAGAGAAAGAAGGAGAAAAAGAGGGAGAGAGAGAAAGAATGAGGAAGGGAGGGAAAGAGAAAGAAGGAGAAAGAGACAGTGAGTGAGTGAGAAAGAGAGAGAAGGAGAGAGGAAGGCATGAGAGAAAGAATGAGAGAGAGGGTGGAGAGAGAGGGAGGGAGAGAGAAAGGAGTGAGTGAGAGAAAGGGGGAAAGGAGGGAGAGTGAGTGAGAGAGAATGGGAAAGAGGGAGGAAGGGATGAGAGACAAGGAAGGATAGATAGAGGGGGCAGAGAGAGAGAGAAAAGGAGGAAGGGAGAGAGAAAGAAGGACAAAGAGAATGAGTGAGTGAGTGAGTGAGCGAAAGAGGGAAGGGGGAACAGAGAGAGGTATAGAGAGAGAGAGGGGGGTAGAGAGAGAGAGATAGGTAGAGAGAGAGAGGTAGAGAGAGAGAGAGAGAGAGAGAAAGAGAGAAAGAGAGAGAGAGAGAGAGAGAGAGAGAGAGAGAGAGAGAGAGGGGTAGAAAGAGAGAGAGAGAGAGAAAGAGAGAGAGGGGTAGAGAGAGAGAGAGAGAGAGAGAAGGGTAGAAAGAGAGAGAGAGAGAAGGGTAGAAAGAGAGAGAGAGAGAGAGAGAGAGAGAAGGGTAGAAAGAGAGAGAGAGAGAGAGAGAGGGAGAGAGAGAGAGAGAAGGGTAGAAAGAGAAAGAGAGAGAGAGAGAGAGAGAGAGAGAGAGAGAGAAGGGTAGAGAGAGAGAGAGAGAGAGAGAGAGAGAGAGAGAGAGAGAGAGAGAGAGAGTATGGACTGGGGAAGTTATCTATGTATGTAAACTCTGACACTTAATTACATCAACCCAACTTGGAGGAAGACCCGCCCCCACATTCTTTTGTGTGCTGGGGGGTGTGTGTGTGTGTGTGTGTGTGTGTGTGTGTGTGCGCGCACACAAGCATGCCTGAGGAGGGCGGAGAGCGGGCTTGAAATCCCTCCAAAAGGCAAACGAATTAGCAGCAGGAAGAATGACTCCTCTATTAAATATACAATTAACTCACAAGATTACGCTCATCGGAAACCACATGAGGCAAACTAAGAAAGACCACAGAGAAGACACATCTCACACAGAGTTCACCAGAAAAGCACTGAAAATTAAATCAACTGGGAGAATAAACGTCCTCAGACCAGTGTTGTTTGTACTTGTGCACAATAAGACCTCTTTTCTTATGAGCGATAAGTCTGACTTTCACAATATCCATGATGCCATTACTTTGGTGCAGCTGTTCATGGTTCTATTACTTTGCCATTAAAGCTGTGTGCCAATGTGGCAGACAGATATCACACCTGCACAAAAAGCTGCATATGCATCAGATAAAACAGCTTCAGGTCTCAGGAAACAGCGTCACGTCTCAGCTCTCATACAATTAGACACCAGGTAAAACGGGCTCAGACAAAAAGGCCTCAGGTTAAGCAGCCACTGACAAAACAGGCTTCCACCACAGAGTTCATGTGACATTCGCAATTCTGTTCTTTCTTACTAGATTAATTACAGTTTTGTGACCAAATTAAACATGGCAACATACTACAATCACAACTTTTAAGGAAACGTGGTTTTATTACACTCTTTTATATGTCAAAGATTAAGTCACATACTGTCTAATTCCACATCCACTTTAGTGTTATGACCTGTTGTAATATCACCAGAAGAAAAGTGCTGGTATTATTATCGCTATCATTATTATTATTGCTGTGTACACAAACGCTTAACGGAAATACAAAAAGGAAAGTCAAAGCAAAGCTGCTTCACCCCCCCCTTGATCTGATTTGCCCATTTACTGCTGCTATTTTCCACACAGTCACTTGAAAAAGAGGATTTTGCTACCCAGGTCATTTTGGGTCATTTCTATAAGACCATTCTTCATTAAATGTTTAAACAATGTCAAGGACAGCAGGAAACCGGCCACTTCACTAAGCACATTGTATCAGCTCTACTTACCATATATGTGCATCTTGCAGTTCTACAAATCTTCTACAACAGACTTTAGTCAGTTTATCTGTATAGTTTCTTCTCTTTCACCCCGTTCCAACCCCCACAAGACCACCACAGAGCAGGTATTATTTGGGTGGTGGATCATTCTCAGCACTGACGTGGTGGTGGTATTTTAGTGTGTGTTGCGCTGGTCTGAGTGGATCAGACACAGCTGTGCTGCTGGAGTTTTTAAACACCTCAGTGTCACTGCTGGACTGAGAATAGTCCACCAACCAAAAATGTACAGCCAACAGCATCCTGTGGGCACTGAAGAAGGACTACAGGATGACCAACACAAACTGTTCAGCAACAGATGAGCTACAGTCTCTGACTTTACATCTATAAGGCGGACTGACAAGGTAGGAGTGTCTAATAGAGTGGACAGTGAGTGGACGCAGTGTTTAAAAACTCCAGCAGCACTGCTGTGTCTGATCCACTCGCACCAGCACAACACACACTAACACACCACCACTTGGTCAGTGTCACTGCAGTGCTGAGAATGATCCACCACCCAAATAATACTTACTCTGTGGTGGTCCTGTGGGGGGGCCTGACCACCACTAGAGCAAAAAATGCACCTATATTTAAAGTGGAGCTGATAAAATGGACAATGAGAGGAGATACAAGGAGGTGCACTTAATGAAGTGGCCAGTCAATGTCTATTGGGGCATAACCCTATTGACATCTCACCTTGCTGGTCTTGCTGGGCCGTGTCAGTCGAGGAGAAGGGGTGGGGGCGGAGCTGTGAAGACTTAAAGCAGGTGACTCCGCCCTAAAGTCTCTCTGCCCGCTGCCGCGACGCTGGCGTACTTGGCGCTCCTCACTGGCCTGGAGGTCCTGGGATCTGGAGCCGTAGCCGTTCTCCACTGGACCGCCAGACGATTCCATGAATAGGGGCTCATCCTCAGACACCTGCAGCTTCTCCAGCTCCTTATTGATCTTCTGCAGGTCTGCCACAGCTGAGCCGCTCTGATTCCGCTCCGAACACAGACTAAGGATGGTCTCCAGACGCTGGCGCTCCTGCAGGAGAGACAAAACAACAGAGTGTGAACACGCGAAACCCATGTAGTCTCGTAAGAAGTTCATGGTTCAAGCTGAGTGCAAGTACAGATTTGAGTGAAGTTTGCTTTTTATAGTTTTACACTGGAGCAATGAGTTTAACATGGGTATGTTTTACCTCTTCAATTAGCACAGGGGTGTCAAACCCAACCACTAAAAGGGCCATATTAAAAGTCTAAGCGTTGGCCCTATCATCAGGAGATTGCGAGTTTGATCCCTGGTGATGCTACAGCCGTCCGTGACCGGAAGTCCTAGAGAGCACAACTGGCCTCGCTCTCTGGGTAAGTAGGATGGCCCCCCCCCTTCCCCCCCTTCCCCCCCCCTAGGATTGCATTGTGGGCCTGATCTGGACCGCGGGCCTTGTGTTTGACACACAGGAATTAGCACTACGCTAACTGCATGTTTATGCCATCACATGCTTGTTTCAAACCAACTTGTTAATGGCAATTCCGATGACTTGTAAAAAAAATCTGCATAGTTCGGTTGTTGAGATGCAAATAAAGTCATTCAGAGTGAGCTGATGTGAAATGGTGCACTGATGTTTTTCTCTAAGAACCAGGGTTTGTGATGTCTTTGATGCAAATATAACCATTTTATTTACTGTCCAAAATGACCAATGAATCTACATGTGTCTTCTGAGTTTTTATATGTACTATTAAATCATTTTGACAGAGACAGCCCTGCATGCGTCCCCTCCACGAATGTATTATAGCAAATACGTATTATGCCAAAACCTTATTGCAAAACTATGGCAAGACAACGTCTCAGGCATCAATCAGTGTATTCATAATCATTTCATGCCACAACTTTCTGTGAGGGAGCTTTAAGAGGCATGAAGCTTCAGACATCTGCTTCCTATCACCACCACTGTGAACAATTCGGACTTGGTTTCTCTAGAATGGAATATTTAATATCAAACCACTCTGTTTGACTTTGTTTACTCTATTTCCCCCTTAAAGTAATCATAATGTATGTGATACTGTATGTCATACTGGTTTCTATAAAACTGGACAAAAGTAAAGATAATATTTAGGCTTCAAGGTGGCTTATTGGTTTGAAGTGTGTCATACAGTGTCAGAAACCACATATTTGAGATTACTTAAAAATCAGTATGGTTCAATGCAAACTAATGATGAATGCTAATTGGTGGGTAGCCACTTTCGCCTTCTAGCTCCAGTCAGTGAAAGTCTAACTGTGCAAATTGAATTTCTTGCAAACGATCACTTTAATATCACAACACACAACAGCATAAATGCAGGCAGTCTCCACTCACATCTGTGGAACTGATACATTTCTGACTTGGAGATGCTTCATGGAGATCCCTAACGAAGAACACAATCATTTCACACTCAGGTTCCGGCTGCAGGTCGCACAAAGCTGCTAACTCACATCTCCAACTCACACGTTGAAGCTTTCTCTTCTAAACTGTGACTCTCCATTCACTAGCACTCAATTATACCACCCAATCCCGGTCAGTCTAATAGAGAGCACAGTCCTTCCTGTCTGGCACATGCCCACTCTGAGCAGCGGAGAGAGAAAGAGGAGGAGAGGAAGAGAGCCGTGGAAGACACAGCTGAGAGAACACGCTCCCCTGGGAAGCTACTTTGAACCTGATTAACAGGCCGGAAAAGCCCTGCATGCAGCCACCACTGTGGAAATAAACACTCCATCCCAACTCTTTCCACAACGCTTGCGCTGGAACTTTGAGCCGGGACAAATGATCCAGCAGGTGGAGCATCATAAAGATGCACATCAGTTACACAGTCTATGTAGTAGCCAATTAAAAGATCAAACCCAGCAATAACTCACGTGATGTTGAGGTCTATATAAACAGCTCCTAGATACCTTTGGCAAATGTCTTCTACCTGCTCAAATCAAACCACTACTGTAATCAGCTTCTCTGACTTATTTTCACTCTAGGTGTCCGATTCTGTAGACAGCTTGAAGTGCAGACTTTCAGGACTGACATCCAAACTTTCATACCACCATTTTCATACAGAGCCCCCCACTTCTAGGGGCTCAGAAGTGTGAGCTCATATTCATTATTTCACTTCAACTCCAAATTGTGGTGGTAGACAGCTAAAACAACAATAACCTTGTCAATATCCAAATATTTATGGACCTGACTGTACACTCAGTGGTTGGACTATGTGGTAACACTTTACTGTAGGATACAGTACATAAGGCAACATGACACCGACACAAGCTTGTCATGACAACCAACACAGACCTACACAAATGTTTATAAATGCTTATTCCAATAGGCATCATTCGCTATAAAGGTTACATTTTCCAATGTTGATCAAAGTTAGTTAAAACAACCTTTATGACAGATAATGCCAATTGGAATAAGCATTTATAAACATTTATGTAGGGTTATGTCGGTTGTCATGACAAGCTTATGTGGGTTTCATGTAGCCTTATGAATTTATGAACCTACGGTAAAGTGTTACCGAACATGCAGCCACTGTTACTCCCACTGGATATCGATGAAGAAATCCTGATGAAGCTCATTTGTCCATTTTCAGCTCGGACTGTCACGATCATAAAATCTTAGCTGACAATTAATTGTCATATAAATAAATTGTTCATTGCATGCATCTAGGAAAATGACAAAAATGGCTTATTAGTCAAGTCAAAGCTTATTTATATAGCGCTTTTTACAAGCAATGTCGCAAAGCTGCTTTACAAAAAATCAGGGTCCAAAGCCCCAATCAGTATCGCCAAGGGCAACAATAGAAAGAAAAACTTCCAAAGAGCAAGAGGAAGAAACCATGAGGAACCAAGAGGCATCAAGACTAGGACAGACAGCAAAACAGTAACATAAATAGAACAATATGAATGGAGCATAAGATTTCACAGTTACAGTACAATACAATACAATAGTCAAGTCAAGTCAAAGTTTATTTATATAGCGCTTTTTACAACCGGTGTTGTCGCAAAGCAGCCTTACAGAAAAATCTGGGTCTGAGCCCCCATGAGCGTCGCCAATGGCGACAGTGGCAAGGAAAAACTCCCTAAGAGCAAGAAGAAGAAACCTTGTGAGGAACCAAGAATCAAAAGAGGAACTCGTCCTCCTCTGGACGACACCGGGTAACAAACAGCGTTAGTATAAAATATTAGAATACAAAACAGGGAAAAACAGGTGGAGCGATGGTTAATTACATAGCTTAAGTTCATGCAGCAGCAGCATCATCATCATCATCATCAGGAGGGTCAGTTCATGCAGGTGAGGTTTGCATATTAGAAGTTATTGGTTGTTTTTTTAGTCCCATGATGTATTTATGTGCCCCTACACAACATACTCACATTCTAACTGCTGTGGCTTAATAATACTGTGAAATCTAACAACTGTGGACAATGACTGCAGTCAGGTAAAATAATTGTGATTATCTCAAATAATTGTGATTAGGCAATTATGTAATAATTGAGACAGGCTGCATTTAGTCATAACAACAAGTTCTGCTTTTAAGGGTCGAACTTGAGTATGTTTAGTAAGACAAATGCGATTAATTGCAATTAACTACATAATGCGACCAATCACAGTTAGCTGTTTTAACCGTTTCACAGCCCTAGTAGCAATGTAATTGCAACGTGATATTTTGAGATCATATAGAGAGAGCCACACTCACCATGGCCACGGTCCCTAAGGTCAAGGGGCCAAGGTGCATGGTGATGGCCCCGTCACACCGAAAGACGAACACCACGGCCTGCCTGACCAAACCCGAACCAACGTCCAAAAACAGCCCTTTTAACAAGACTACAGATGATCCTTCTGAATGGTGGGAGAGATCTCTGACTGTCTGAGGGTCCAGCTCTGAGCAGGTGGGTGCTGAGTGAAACCAAATGCCCTCCAAAACATAGCTGGCAGCGGACGGCGGAAGAGACGCAAATATAGGAGCGAGTGATTTAATCCTTCCGCTTTCTCCCGTGCCCCACGTTTTCAGCTGGCATTACAGAGGGGTGAAAAGTTCTCATCAGCCCCCCACCCCCCACCCCCCACCTCTGATCAGATATACATGACCAGCTCAAACATAAACAGGCCTAAAAGTGGAGCGGTCTCTCTTCGCTCTCACTTGATCTCTTTCACTGCTGAAAGCTGACATGTTTTAAAAGCTCGGACAGAGACCACCTTTTAATTGAAGTAAAGGGCCGATAGGGAGTGGGCGCAGCCCAAACACACCGACACCACACTTAATTAACTTCTCCATGTTTAGAACTGAACGCTAGGTCTGGATCCTGTCTGCAGGCTGATGACCATGACCTTGTCAGTGGGGGTGAGGACTGTGACCCCACTGCAGGAGGGCAACTCAAATTACTCACCACACTGTGAACTCAGAGAGGGGTCTCTTCTTGGCTGAGTGCTGGACGGACATACAGTACTATGAAAAAGTGTTAGGTACCTGAGAAAATTGGATTTAGAAAAGATATTTATCTGGGCAGTAAGCATTTAATGGCCCAGTAATAGTAGAAGAAATACAAATAATATTAATTAGAATGAGAAGTGATTTTATGTATGTCAAAGTGTTTATCTAACCGTTTCCGAATCTCTCCACAAGGCAGCCCAGTAATATTTGTAGTTAAAAGTTGCATTAGGTGTGCTGCTAATAGAATGTCATAAACCAGTGTGATGGCTGGAAATCTGGACCAAACTTTGTTTTTCTTCAAACCAGCTCACAAGATTTTTTAAATAAGAAATTCATGTTACTTTCTACTGTATTTATGTTAATTTGCTTCTAGTTTAATGCTAAATGCGTTTTATCAACCAATATCTAGGAACCATAAAGCGAGCACACCATTTCACAGTAGCAGAGATAAAGCAGGTACCACGTTGCTCAGTCCCCACTGGTAACTGCCACATCACTTCGCTCCAAATTTGCATCAGGTTCAACTTTGCTCAACTTTAACACGTTGCCCACGTAATGCTGGAAATAGTCAGCTCTTACTGAAAATGAATTGCTTCCTTTTTGTAGTGCCTTGTGGCTGCCGGTGAGAATGTAGGGTAAGACTTTAGCACTGTAGTGTCCTCAACACAGTAACTGCACACACGAAGAATAACATGGAAAAGGTGTATTGAGAATATGGAGATAAAGCTGGGTGACAATCTTTTCACAATGTTTCCACGTCACTCAATACCAACAAATATCAATAAATATTATGTGCATATCCTCAAATAAGTCTGAATAGAATCTTGAATCTTAAAAAGAAATAAAAAATGGTGTAATTAGCATCAAAATAAAATTTAAATAACATAAAATTTTAAACTTAGAATAAATAAAAATTTAGAAATGCCACTTTTGTCACAATTTCCTCTTGTTCTGAGACATTTTCCTCAGTCTTATTTCAGTCTCAAACTGAAGAGTCGCACACTGCCACCCAGAGTATCCATCAGAGAAAAAGAAAAAACAAAAAAAAAAAAATTAAAGAAACAAACAAACCAAAAAATCTTCCTATTTTTAGATTTACTTTTTTACCTAACTGCATTGGTGAGGCTAAAACATTCAAAACCACACAGGAATACATTTCAAAATATCTTATTATTCTAAAATAGCCGAAAATCAGAAACTTTTCATGTGATGAGTAGCAGGGGCTGCCTTTTCAGATGAGCCACTGAGCTAACACTGCAGCTAACCGGTACATCAGATGATAATAAGGTATCATTGTCTTGTACAGGAGGTATTTTCTCCTCAGTGAACGATGTGCCAACGTATTAGTTTGAGAAACAGCCTAGTTACCCTAGCCGCAGCTTTTTTCACTACACAGTCAAGTCAATAACAACGTGCTCACCTTAAGACACTCGTTCTTCATAGCAGCAAAACATAATACAATAAACATACTTACAAACGCAAGCAAAATGATCATATATCTTCTCGATCTTTGTGATGAACCACAACAAATTCCCAAAATGTGATTTTGCTAGTATTCAGGTACCTGTGCACACTGAAGCAGTAGGAATTGCCCAGAGTTTAAGCCTTTGGTAACGACATCGGATTGAGGGACAAAATGAAAGAATCACTTAATCGAAAATACAATTAAAATAACACTAATTAACAGTAGCATGTTTAGCCTGGGCCTATATGAAGGCATGTCTCTAAAACAGCACACAGCAGTTTTCACCACAGCCTGTGTGCATGTATGCATACATGTTCTCGTCTCCACCTGCAGTTCACTAGTGTTTACTCTTCCCAGAGTTAGCCTCTAATCCAGAATCGTAAAGCTTCACCACAGCTACAGGCCTGTAATGGCTAATGAGTGAGCGGTCATGGTGTATGGTCTGGACCGGGCCCAAAGGGGCAATGGTACAGGTGGCCTTACTAAACCCTGAGAAAGCGTACAAACATCGCCATCTTTCATCAGTACTCCACTTCAGCCAGCTGAGGAGCAAGAATAGGATTGTTAGGGAGGGCAGACTGCCAGCGAACCCCGCCTCAGTGGTCGGCCTCCCAAGGCGAGTGTGTTTGAGAGGCTACGGTCAATGAAAGTGGATGCGGTTCGAGGTTGGCTATTAATAGGACGGGGTACGCAGCTCCACCTCTGGTTGGGTCTCCCCACTACAGAGACCGAGTGGGCCGTGCTTATTGCAGCCAGCAGTGCGCAGGGTCTGTGTGTGTTTAAGAAAGTGGAATGTCGCTGTGTTTGTGTGCAGACGAGGGAGGGTTTTCTCCAAGAGATTAATTTGGAGGCAGGTGGAGGCCTCTCCCTTCCCGACCTCCACAGACCTCAGAATTCCATTCTGGACGCCTCCACACAGCGACACAGAGCAGATATCAGGGAGGACTTTGTACGAAGGATATTTTTGAAGATAACAGTTTGGTAATACAGCCTTTTAATTCCATTGAGCTGCTCTCCGTGACAATACACAATGAAAATAGAAGGCAAAGCTTCAGGAGATCTTAAACTGGACCTACACTACATGACTTTTAGCCTATATTTCACCCCAATTTGCTCTTTCTGACAAATTTTCAAATTTTCTTCTCAAACTACACAATTTTTAGCCTGATTTTAACCCCTATTTGCCCCTTGTAATCACAGTCTAAAGCAAATTTCCAGGTCGGGAGCATGATCAGAAGTGACTGACGGCACGGATGAACTAGAGGTGTGACAAGAGAAATGAGTCGATCTTTAGCCTTCAGATCTAGCGCCAAACTGATTGGATACATTCTTTTCTCAACCGTTTGATCCTTACGACTCAAAATGTTTAGAAGTGTGAGATGCTCAGCGATAACGTGCAGTTCAGGCATCAGCCAATGAGAGAGCTAGGAGAGAGCAAAAAAGGCGTGTATGCCCAACGTGTGTGTGCAGCAGACCACAAACGCAAATTAGAGCCTTTATAATGTTTATAATGGATGGATTCAGACATCAAGTCACTCCCTTGACAATTTCAAGTCAGCTGCCAGTTTATAGTAAAGTTCTCGCTCCAAAAAAGAAAGAAATCCACGTTTCTCAACCACATATTCATCACCAGTTTGCCGTCTAGTTTAGCTTTGTTTGTGTGATAACGAGGGAACATTTGGGCTTTGGAGGGCTTTTTCATAGCCAAAACTGAGTGATGGCCTCTCTCTCCCTGATCGTCTAATTTGAAAATTCTATAAAAGACTGGCGTTAAATGTGAGACGCTCTTCATTTTAGACCTCTGCTAAGTCGTGTAGTGTATGGTTGGCTTCAGAATAACACTTCAAACACTCAATTAAAGTGAGAGTTGGGTGGAAAAAAATTTCCACTTACCGCAAATGTAGTCAAACCAAGACACATTTGCTGTCTGAAGTTGCACTACAGCTACAAAGCTAATGGAAGCTTACATGCACCACTTAGCATTTTGCAGACCGCTTAACTATGTGACATATTTTTGTCCACTTTTACAGTTCACAATTTGTCACACAGTGCCGGGAACCACATAAACAAGTCTACTTGAGAGTATGTGATGATTTAGGCTTGCAGTTTTCACGATGCTAATCCACAGGTATAAGCTTTTTTTACTCGTTAGGTACATCAGCTTTGCAGTTCTAGTGCAAAAACTATCTTGGTTGAAACAAACCATCTTGGCTGATCAACTACATTTGAGATAATGTGAAAACTGTGTAAATGTGATCAATCAATGTGATCAAGACAGAGATGTTAAAAAATATGTAAAACAACTTTCTGACCCCTCTGGAACACAGTACTCACCAGTCTCTCCACCTCCTGCTCTCGCAGTCTCTCATCCCGTTGTCTCTGGTGGTAGTCCTGGAGCTCCTCCTTGCCACTGAGGGAGCTGATGCTCCCTTTCCTCTCGCGGAAGCCGCCTTGTGGGCCCAGGCCGGCCTTTCCGAATGACTGCCTCCTCTCGCCAAGACCTGTCTCTGGAGCTGGGGAGGGCCCGCGGGCCACCAGCCTCTCCAAATCTGAGCAGGAGCCTCCGCTGGAGATCAGGCTGACCTTCTTGGCCTGCCGGGGGCTGGTGCTGGTGGTGGCACCTGAGGGCACGGTCACGTCTGGAGGCGCGGGGGTGCTTTTGGAGCTGGACCTGGTGGAGAGGGAGATGGACACCACCTCTGTGAGAGCGTTATGGTGGTTTTGCTCTGGGGAGGGCCGAGATGAACGATTATCCAGAGAGCGGCGGGGTGCAGGGAGGACGAGAGGGGCAAGAGGAGATAGTGAGGAATCAGTCGGGCGATAAAGGCGGGGTAAAGAGCGGCTGTGCACGCCCAATCCGGTCAAAGAACCAGCTGAGTATTTCCTCTGGCGGGGTGCAGGTTCTGGAGCACCGTTCCGGCCTGTGTCCTGAGCACCGAGCCTGCGGGCCAGTCGCGGGCTGGACGGCATGCTTGCTGTCCCGCTGGAACTGCCCCCTGGTGGTGGCGGAAGGGAATCACCCACATTGGAAGAGGGACCATTCCACATAGACAACAGAGAGCCGGACGTCTGAGCACGACGACTCTCCGAGAGCAGGCTGTCCTGGGACTGGTTTCTGGTAATAGGCCGTGAGTACGGCAATGAGGTGTCCCGCTCCCGTGAAGGGTCTGAGCGCCGAGGCGAAGGGGGCATGCTGCCGGAAGAGTGGGTGGGCACTTTAACCGAAAGGGGTGGACGATCAGAGGTATAAAGACGCCTGGCCTGCTCTTGATAGGACGATATAGGGCTGGAGGTGGTCACAGGTGACAAAGAATTGGGTGTAGTGGGTGGAGACTGGGTCATGCTGAAGTAGGAGGGGCTGGTGTCCACGCTGGTTCGGAGGCTGTTCTCCAGAGCCTGTTTCTTTCTCTGCAGGGTGTCCATCAACTCTCGCAGCTCGGAGACGGAGCGCATCCCTCTGGAGCTGGGCCCGCCCATGCTGTGGCTGAAATCACTGCTGAACTTCAGATAGTCTGGAAAGAGAGAGAGACAGAGAGGCAGAATGAGACTATCAGGTCAATAAAGCGTGCATACCTGTAACCTCACAATGATTCAATTTGATTCTAGTTCTTTAGAAAATGATTCAGTCCAGAAATCTCCACCAGAATTAGATTCAATTATATCAGCATGATTCAAAGGACGCACACTATAAAGAATTGTACGTTAACAGATTCGATCATTTTAAAATTGACGCAGCCAAACTGCCAACCTAAGATCAATGCAGCGCGATGCAATGATGCATTTTTACAACCCTTGTCAGTAACTTGGCTCACTTTTCAAGGGAAATGTAATGAATGAGAGAAATGCGAGTCCCACATGTTCACTTTGGCAAGCATTTTAAAGAATTTGATACTGCTTTAAAAACAGTTACAAAATCTTACATAACCATCAGGTTAATGCCAAACTGTCCGCTAAAGCAATGCTTAAATTAATGATTCCTAAGAAAGCACAGAGCCATTATTAAAATGTACCTGAGATTGGTCTACTCATAGAAACAGCAGAAACCTGCCTTTAAATGACCCAGAACCCAAAAGCCTCAAAAAACCTCTGTAAAAATAGAAACTGACTCAAAGCCCAGTCAGAAGAAACTTCAGCTTTAACTTTTGGTAACCACACATACGCTACATGCAATATTCTGCTACAACCCAGTGGTTAACAAACTAAATATAATTTTTGTTTAGTATCCTGTCTAGTCTTACAAAAAAACATCATTCAATCTTCATGTGTTAAATTTCCACTCTGAACACCATTAACTACAAATGATTCACTTATCAGGAGATATATCTGAGGTGATAACCCACTTGCATAACGAAGAAGAAAGTCAAAGGAAAATAAGTAATAAAAACAGGAGTTTCCAAAACTGGAGTTCAACAATTATAAACAGGTAACAGAGAAAACAGGAGTGCTAACAACTGTGCGAGACCTGGTAAACCACGAAAACGGTCACCATCAGATAAACAGCACTCAAAGCTTTCGTCTTTGAGAGAGGGGAAACAAATCAAACTCCACTCTTGCTTAAGACTGAAGCTACAAGAAGCTGCTTATAAAAAAGTTGCTGGTGTTCTCAGAAGGATGGTATGTTCACCCCAGGGTCCAGACCTCAACATCATTGTATGTGTTTGGGATTTCCTGGATTGTAAGAACTGAAAATACAACCAACTTCAAAGAATTGTCTATTTAGTATAAACTTGTACATGTTTAAAATAAATTATTAGTATTATACAAAAAGTAAAACTTACCTTAAAAATGTTTAATATTATTTATTATATGTAAATCAGATTACGTAACTTGTTGGCATCCAGTGTACTTGCAGTAAGCTTAATATATGAACAGTAAATACATTTCGGTAACACTTTCTTTGGATAGTCTACCTTAGATGCTTTGTGGATACTTAATTTACTTTCAAGTTACATTCAACTAAATATCTATTAAATTGACCACAATTTTCTTTAACTCTTAACCTGGCTCTAATCCTAACCCTAACCTTAACCTCAACCCAAACCCTAAACCCAACCCATAAACCCAACCCTCACCCAGTCCTAGCCCTGACCCTGGTCCAAATCCTAACCCTAACCCCACCACCGTTTAGAATCAATAGATATTACAGGGTGATTCAAAAAGATTCATCCAATTTCAAAGCGCCATATTTTTACATTTTTTATTTTACATTTTAGGTGCTTAGGAACCAATCACATTCCAATTGAAAGAGGGGGTCATAGAGTTTCTGACTGTCACCGGAAGATGGCTCCCTTCAGTCTGCAAGGAGATGCGACCCCTGAGCAGAAAGCGCTTTGTGTTCTCAATAAGAGTGAATCCATCATAACTGTGCAACGTGATTTTTGTCGGCAGTGAACCTCCAACAGCTCAGAGCGCTCGTCATTGGTTCCACAACACCGGATGATCTCCGAAATCGCACTGAAAGAGCCGTGAGTGCAGCGACACCTGACATGCTCAATCCAGTATGGGATAAATTTGACTACAGCGTTGATGTTGTCTGTACAGCTGGAGGAGGTTCATATTGAGCACTTGTAAAATTACATAATAAACTTTATGCTCATTTAAACCATTTACAATTTACTGCATTGTTCTAGAATGATTTACAAGTGAAATAAATCATTTTGAAATCGGATGAATCATGTTGAATTACCGCGTCATTTCAACAAATAGTTTGTTAACAATTTGAACATCTGTAGATAATCTATAGGGGAGTATAGTGGACTATCTAAGCAAAATGAGACCTTTATTCTACAGTATACTGCAAGTACACTGTACAGTCGTCTGCAAAAGTTTGGCCGCCTCTGGTCTAATTACATGGTTTGTTAAGTAAGATAAGTGAACACATCCTCTACAGAGAACACACTTCTGCATATTTTAATGCACAATTGCTGAGTGTTCAGCTATGTGCAGAATTAAACATCTTGAGAAAAAATAAAACTTGATTAAAAATTACGGCACAAAGTTATGGCACACTTTATATTTATTTTTCAGTATGTTAAATACAGTAAATACATGGAAATGGGGCTATAAATTAGCATAAAACGTCATCTTTAAGTGTGTCCTCTCTAGTACTTTGACCGTGGGTGTTCAAATGTTTGCATACAACTGTATGTACCTAAATACACACTAAAATATACTAGATTTTCTTAAAAGTCATCGAGAAACGCTAGTTATTCCAGTCCACCTGTGGAAGTGGATGAGCCAAAGATGGACAGCAGAACTCTCCGTTCGAAACTTTTTGGCCTTACGCTCTCCGTCTGTCCCCCTCACACACTCACTCACACACACACACACACACACACACCATCTGCTCTGTCTCTGCGCTGTACAGTTCAGAGCAGCTTCTCTCTGCTATGTGCCAAGACAGTGCAAACAGATCAAAGGATATCTTCCAGCAGACGTCTGACACATGCACACTCGTACAACACGCATACCAGCAAAGACCATAAACTCACACAGGCCTCAGCCAAGAGCAGAGAAATCCCTTTAACCTGAGAGGACGAGGAGGAGGAGTGTGTATGTGCACAGTGTTTAAATCAGAGTTAAATCTCTACCACGCAAACAGACAAGGAAATAGAGCAGAAACTGAGAGATATCACAGGGCTCGGCTGAGTCGCTCAGGGAATGGCATTTAAGAACACCCACAATCCCGCACACATACACCTAAACTCCAGCACTCTTTTTGCCATACATGGAAATATTTCAACAGTCTACTCAGTAGTACTCCAGATCTTTCACAGAAGCAGTCTCTACTTTACACTGGTGGCCTGAAATCTACATGAAACTACATTTGACAGTATAAAAACCTCATCTTGAAATTTGCACAACCATCTTAACTTTGGTTGTTTCATGAAACTTGCTTCGCAGTCAAAATGCTAATGATGTAGAGGAGCATGAGGCACAACCGGCCCCGCTCCTCCATAGAATGTGATCATATTAATGTCATTTTAACTAAATTATTGACTGTTATAATTATTGATTATTGAAACAGGTGGTCATTTCTCAGACGGCTGAGAAGGAGAAGTCTGTACATTCCTTCATAACGCACCGCTTCACACCAAACCACTGCGAATGACTTTGTTTGCATATTTTAATGCTATTCAACTACACAGAAATTTTGAAAATATCGATACAATTCCCCTTCAACATGACAGTTGTCTGGTTTTGTTAGTTATCGTGATTTAGACAGAATGATATGATAATCGCAAAACACAAGCTGCTAATCTCGCTAATTAGTAAAATAATCAAATGGGTTTATTATGAACTGCTTTGTGTAACTGTCCAGCTCCAAATAAATTATGTTTCATCCAACTCACCACTGCAACTTGTCAAAAGCCAGCCTTACAATAGCACCACAGGGAAGCGTAGATTTGAATATGGGGGCTTTTCTCCCATCTGCACTGTCTGGGACAGCAGCAACAATGTGTATTCATTTCTACTGTCTACAATACAGACAGAAAATGATCTACAACGTAATCCCTCTCCCCCAAACTATCAATCACCACGGGGACAACAAACCACATCTGTATACAGAAAAGGAGGACATTCCACACGACTGGCTGCCTGCTGCACATGGAGCATGTGCGTGTTTTGAGAAGATATATCCGAAAAGACAGAAGATTCTTAAAAGGGTTCTCGCACTTCAAAGGCTCAGAGAGCGCTATTGTGGGAGTCTGCTGTGTGACAGATAATGCACACCTGTCCAAGACGGCCCCCATTACCTGAAACTGAACCCATTTTACACACACACAAAAGGGGTTATCATAAGGGCTGTGTGAGATACAGGATATGGGTTCTCTGTGGGTTCATGGGGGTTAAGAGTCAAAAACGGGGGTCCTTTTGGTTACTTTTAGGGCTGGACCAAATAATTTGAATACTTGAGTATCATTTTGTGACGCTGATAATCGATTCTGTGCTTAGTATTCGGACGTGAACACAGTTTCAGTGGCTTCATTGCCTTGTAATGTGCCTTCTGAGTTCAGTACTGAGTCCAGGAGGACAGGCTACACCAGCCAAGCGAGGTACCCGCCGAGCTGCTTCTAGGGTGGTCCTCACTGAGGTCATATGAGCCTTTAGCTCCAAAAGCTCCTCAATCTTCCACTCCACTCTCTGTAGCTCCATTGTGACTGAGCTCAACTCAACAAAATAACTCAATTAATAAAAACAACTGACCAAAACAAACTAAATAAAAACTAAACTAACTAAAGTTAAAACTGTGATGGTGACAGATAAAACGCTTTAGCACCCACGTTAAAAGCTGTATTTGAAAGGAAGGGCTACAGCCTAACTACTAATTCATTGCTGCTGCCAACTGGTATATTTTACAGTAATGAACTTATTTAAATTATGCACACGTATATATTATTGTTTTTAAGGGTGGTTTTGAGAACTAGTGTTTACATACTTGTTTGAAAATACCATCAAGTATTTAAATCCTGTAACACTGAGCAACAACACCTACACACTAAAATGGTGGTTCTTCAAGGGTTCTTTAGTAAAGAAAATGGTTCTATATAGAATCAACACTCAAAAAACCCTTTACATGTTTAAATAGGGTTGTGTGTATCGAGAAAGCGTTCTTGAGATTGATGGAGAATGTGCTGTAGATGGTTTTATATAGAACCTATAGAAGGGTTCTGCTATTGTCATGATGTCAAGCTTGTATCAAAAGGGCGCTATATAGAACCATCTATAGCACTTTCTCCATTAATCTGAAGAACACTGTCACAATGCAAAGAGTCATGCATTTAATCATGCAAAGAGTTCTTTGAGTGTTCATGGTTCTATACAGAACCTTTTTCTTCATTAAAGAACCCTTGCAGAACCATCCTTTTAAGCGTGTACCAGCCTATCAAAGTGGTTGATGGAAGTTTTAGACAATGGTTACCTGTGCTGTAGACCAGCGGAGACACGGGGCTCTTTTGAGGCAGCATGCTCTTCATCCGGTTGGCCTCTTCTGGGTGGTTGAAACGGAAAAAGTAGGATTTACCCAAACAGAGAGAATACCCTATAGAAGAGAGAGAGAGAGAGAGAGAGAGAGAGAGAGAGATTTACAGTCAAACCAACCTGAGACACACAACATTTGAGATGCTTGCAACCATCTGACTCCATCTATTTGGCCAGTGTAAGCAGAGCTGCATTGGAGGTGGCCATCAATTTGGATAAAAACCCAGAGCATTAAACAAACGTCGAGGTCACCACCTCACCGTGACAGAGCCACAGCTGTCCAAACACCTCACAGCATGTATGAGGAACAGGGCCCAGCTAGAGACTCTCACTACCTCTAAAGACCACCATTCCTAAAGCATGCAAAGAAATGCTCTTCTCCATCAATCAATCACACACTTTGGTTTATATAAGACTGAGGCATCTTTTTCCACTTGATGGTCAACGTTAGGGCCTGACTGATGTATCGTCTACACTATGGTCCTGCAGTTTCATCAGCCCTGGAGGAAATCATAAGGATTATTAACAGTTCAATAGAAGTGTAGTACTGTAAGCTACCTCCATGCTCCCCTATGAGAGAGCTTAGGCCCACTACTCCGTTTTTCCAGTGATTTGAAATCAGAGACCATTGAGCGAAGAAAAAAAAAAATTGAAGCAGAAAGCGGAATAACAGATTGCGGAAAATATTTGGGACCTCTTTTCCTCCTCTCCACCAAACCCCAAACCTCTGGCTTGAGGATTCTGAGCTGCTTGCTAAGGGAAGAGAAAGGAAGCTTGTTTTTGATGAGTAAAAAGGTGCGAGGGTTTTATTAAAGAGCTCTTCAAATGAGAAATTCTCTTTTGAGGAGCTGAAATAGTTTTGTGTGTCATGTTTGGTGGAGCTTCTGATACACTTTAGAGTGCAAGTCACTGGTGCTCAGTGCTGGACAAGACAGACACTTCCTAACCAGCTGTGTAAAAACTGTCTGTGTCCTTGTCTCACACGTTTCCCTCTTGCTGGAAAATGAAGATTGTTTAGCCTACTTTCCTCCAAATCTGATTCCAAAGCCACAAGAGGACAGTGGGGCTGCACAATATAGGGAAAAGACTAGTATTGCAGTTATATTATTGCATTTTGTGATTCTGATAGACCTTGGAGTATTTAAACAGGCGTTCAGACTTAAAACTAGAGCTGAACATTTTATTGTTAAGTTAAGCAGTACTCTGTAGTACAGGATTATACTCCCTCAGCCTCAGCAGTTTGACAGAATTCACAATTTTATATCTTGTTTTTATTCATCAAAACACTGGGAATCCCTGTGGTGTCAACCAATCATGACTGCTAGCCTAACCACCGAGCTATGGGCTAATAAATACAACCAAGCTAGCACTGTTGTGATTCTTGTCAATCAAAATTTAAAATGAAAACAGTGATTCTATCTTTACTCAGCAAAGACAGATGCCAGAGGGTTATTTTTACCTTCCTTGCCTTATGTTTAGCTTCCTTGCTAACTTCAGCTTTTAGCTTTTTGATCTCCCCATGTGACGAGCCACTTCAGTCATTTGGTTAACCCATAATCTTGATTGAAATGAAGATTTGAAGCCAGTTACTAAAACACCATCATCTTCCTAGTTGTCATCCTTCTGCCATCCTTTTGCAATTGCAAGCTAACGGGGAAAAACAAAGCCCCAAAAATCCCCCCAAAGCAACTGTAGTCTTTCAAAAGCCCCTCCCACCTTCAAAACACATCATCAGAACAAGGTTTTCTTACTCTTTAAAATGGAAAATCTCCCCGCCGAGACTATTATGGTACCACTGTAGATGCGAGTAAGCATGTTTACAATAGATACGGTTAAATACAGCAAAAAGCAATGTTAGAGGTTCATTTACATATTGGAGCCTTTGGTGATATCAGTACTGCAAGGGCAAATATGATATTTATCAACAAACGATACTACTAACAATCTCTACTACTTTCCTCACACTCTGATTCTAAAGAGGACGACACGCACATGCAGAGATAAAGAAACGTTTCTCTGAAGAAAGTGTGGGCCTGATTATTATACCATCCAGCTCAAGCCAAACTGTTTTGCAGGCCCAAGATAAGCTACTTAAAAGGCTCTTGTCCTTCGTGACCCTGTACATCCAAAATGCTCGACCAGAGGCTTTGTTAAGTCCGCACCTTTGTGTTTGAAAAGCTGGGCCACATTTCAGTGCCCTCAGTTGAGAGGCTGGAGGCCTTGTGCGTCGTTAACATGCCAAAGCCCTGACTTTCGGCCTCCTAAATCTTTCAGACGCATTCCACTGTTTGGTACACTGGCAGACTGCTCCCGTAAGGTCTAGTCTGATTTCTTCTGGATTTTTCCATTCTATCAGAGCCTTATTGGTAGGAAAATTAAAAAGGGCAAAAAAGGACAAAAGCAGCCTCGACGGCGATGCCGTACGGATTTCACAACAAAACAGATGGACACAATAAGCCTGATGAATGCTTCATGCTGCGAGACGTTTCATCATCACAAAAATCCCCACAGTCTGTCTAAACAGTGATCTGAGAGATAACACTGTCAGATAAACACGGCTTGGTACAGTGACCAAAACATGCATATCCATACACGCAGCTGGAAAGGTTTCTCAAGTGCAGAGGTGAGTGTTTAGTCTACACAGCTGTGATCCTGTGCCTAAAAAAACCTAAATAAATATGCTACAGGGAAAATGAATGGCTGACATTGTGTTCCACATGTTGATACCTGTGTACAAACTCTTGCTTTTGTAGTGCTTACCTAAATACTAAGGTCTGAGCCAGTGTGAGGATGTCGGGGGGGTGGGGTGTTACAGTAGCATCAATAAAACCATTTCTAGGCCTCTTGAAATTTTATATGATAGTTAAATGTCTGCTAAATGGCTGTGATTAACAACCAAATAGTTTGTTCCTGTTTACTGTATGTAGTGATTCAGGTACAAGCCTGAAGTGGCCAGATCAGCTGTCCTGCTTCCACGTTGATAGAATTCACAATTTTATATCATTTTCATGTTTTCAATGATCAAACAACTGGGAATGCCTATGGTGTCAACCAATCCTGACTGCTAGCCTAGCCACTGAGCTGGCATTACCGCAACTCACACAAAATTGTAAAGAAAACAGTAACTACCTTTATTCAGCAAAAAAATGGACACCAGTGGCCAAAGGGTTTTTACCCTTTCACCCAAAGAAAAGATGGGCTGATTAGATCTTGATTCCAAGCTCTCAAACAAATGTCGACAGAAATAGCTTGAGCTCAAATAAACAAATGTCTCACTGCTGCCCCCTAAAGGTGTCATAGCACCAGTTGGACGTTAGAGCTTTTGATGTTTTCGTAGGATCCATGGTTTCTCAATACGTGGAACAAAACCTCATATCTCCAAAACGGTAACTATACAGGAGAAGGAAAAAACATACTTAACTTTTAATGTAAGTCAATGGAACCAGACGTCTTTCCAAGTCATTCTGGGTCGTTTCTCTTGGTTCACTCATCATGATATTTACACACAATGTAAAGGACGACAGGCATTTTCAAATTATGTCAAAAACTGAAAAACAGCAAATATGGAGATATAAGGTTTTCGTTCAGACAGCAGCGATATTCTGCTTTCTTTCATTTACATCCATTTGACTCAACCCAACTGATCAATGCACAGCAATTCACTTGTTGTTTGTTGTGTATTGTGACAAACATATGATTGTGAAAGCTATCAACTATGGAAAATAACTGCAATCAGCTCAAACAGCTGCAATCAGACAGTTTTGTAATAATTGAGACGGGCCTAAACTCTCAAAATAGACACTGCTAGTATTATCTTTAATGAGTTTGCACTGGCTGTTTACTGTTTCTTCTCCAATTTCCTTCTGCGCTGCAAATGAATACGCTCACTCATAAACTTTTTTCCTTGGATTAAAAAACAAAGTGTCTTTGATCTGATAATTAAGCGTGCGTGGTACTTTATATAACAGCCTTTTATAGAGACTAAATGACCTCAGCATGTCAAGTAGTCAATTTTCTGCTACGATGAAAAAAAGCTGTTACTTTAAGACCTCACGAACTTCTAAAGGCTTTACTGACTAAATCATTAACTCTCAACTGTGCCTACACTTCACAGAGCTGACCAATTAGACGCTTTTATTACGAGATAAACTTTAACAGTGTGCTGAAAGGCACAATGATTAATCAAGACTGTATTCTCATCTTCTCCACATGCAGCGACTCTAGATTCAGTGAGTAAGTCTGAATGCTTCTATCCACCAAGACGGTCAGATAAGCCAAGCACAAAAACATAACAGAAAGAAGAAGCCAGCTACTGTCTACAGATGGAGTTTTTTTAACCCATTAATGCCCATATTAAAAATCTGTTCTCTAAGCTTTGCTGAGCATGAATCGTCAAATCAAACCACGTGACTAAAAAGTGAGCTATCATCACAGATTGTTCCAATTTCTGCGTAATTCAATCGGTTAGACAAACAAAGTCATTCTAAGTGGTTGGATGATTGCTCAGTCCTAGATAAAGTGATTCAGAATTCTTCACAGTGAAAGAAACCACCAGTCTGAAGTGTTTAATGCTTCTTAAAGCTCCATTACAAAAAGTTATACCATGAAATGATGTCTATATGCTCACACCTTATGCTTAAGACATTGTTTTATTATAGTTTTCAGATAAGGTTTTGGCTTAAGCCAAGGCAAAGTAGCTCCCAAATCTATTTTCAGATTTACCACTTTTCAACCATTCTCAACATTACATATACAAACTCATGAGACATGTAGGTTCACTGATCATTTTAGATAGTAAATAAAAGGTCTGCGTTGTGACCCCTGGTTCTTGTCACCACCAGGGTAAGGAAGCACAACTTTCTCTACAATGAATCATTTATCAAACCACTCTGAATAACTTTGCTTACACCTCAATGACTGATTTATGCAGAAACTTTGAATAATTACTCTTTAATTATATTAAATTGAGCCTTTTGAGCATGTGGGACTACAGATTTTTACCAAAACAGTGCAAAATCCAATTGTGACTGTGAAAGAAGGTGACAAAGTGAGCATAATCAG